AATTAGTTTGGGAAATAGGGATCTGGGTAAAAATATCACTGCAACTATTTAGTCATTGAAATATTTTGCTTTTAACAATTACAATGTGATTTTCTTAAGGTACTAAGAGGAATCATCATTACTAATTTTTAATTAAGGTGGATTAATAATTACTCAACAAGGTTGTTCTTTTAATTTGTTCAATATTATTCCTAGAGAATAATATTTTATAATATTAGGTTGGGAAAGTGTGGTGGAGTAATAGATAGTGGCTCAGATTGAGGAATCGCAGAACTGTGTTTGAATTCCAGTCAAGGTCGTTACAGCCACTTATGTGCAAATAGCCTTGACAAAGGTATGAATCCATTGCTCCCCCCACCCACCCCGCTATGGACAAAGAGCAGGACAGACTTGGTCCTACAGCCTTGGGTGGCAACTGATCTAGGACAAGTCTGAATTAAAAATATGAGTGGTTGGCAACTAAACTGGCTCTCCAACTAAACCTTGTTCTGGTAAGGAGGTTAAGTGGAACCCCAGCAGCACAAAAACAAGAACTGTTAAAGTGCAGATGATCTCCTCAGAATTGGCTATCCACCCCCAACTATGGGTTAAATAGCCTCAACTACCTACAAATGGTCAAGTATGGTTGTATGGCCATAAGACATGATCAATCAGAGAGAAGTTCCTCCAACAGGAGTGAGTAGTCCCTGGATTTGAATTTGGAGGTTGAGTCATAAATAATTTCCACTTTTGTTTATCAACTTTATTATACAAAAAATAAAATATATTCACCATTATTTGCAATGACTTATTACCACTTATCAGTCAGCTCTTCAATAACACTTGAATAAAATTCTACAGGTTTTGATGTGAAAAAGTGTTTGCCAAACTCTTGAATCTGGTTTTCATTAGAGGAAGTTTTCACCATGAAAACATTGGCAGTGACTGAAAGAAAGGTACTAATTGGCTGGTGCAAAAGTCAAGTGAACATGGCAGGTGGGTAGAACAAACCAAATTTTTTTCCTGTGTCATTCTTTCTGTGTATGATCTTGCATTGTCATGGAGGAGAACAACATTTTCCTTTAATCCGCTATGTATGCTGCCACTGTCATGCAAAAACTAAAGTATATTCATGTACTCTAAATTTACTTTTAATGGACACATATGATTAGCAGTTAGGATGATAGATTTGTCATTACAATTGGTTCCCACAAAATGGAAATTACTAATATTTTGAATTGTTTCTTTCTTCTGGAAATTACATTATTATATAAGGAAAATGTATAAAATAATAAAATATACTTCAGAAGTCTAGATATTTTACTAAAGTAGTGAAGACATTTTGTTTCAGAAATTTTTCTCAACTGATTATAAAAATACATTAGCTGTTACAAGAAGAATGTATTGTAATCAATGAAAATTGACTGTAACAAACAATCTTTGTAAAGTTACCAAATAAAGGATTTTATCAAGTACAAGAGTAAGAACAAGTTCTTATCTTAAAAATGAAGATTTAATAAATAAATTATTCAAAAATAAAGAAAAAAAAACACTTTTTTTTTTTAGTTTTGGTAACTTGAATATGAATTTTTTTTGTAGATTTCATTTTCTGAGCTGTTATGTCATGTCACATATGCACTTTCTGCTAAGAATGGGTTCAAAAGGTCAGAGAATTTTGACAAAATAAAAGAGGGGTAAAAGCAAATTAATCAAACACATTGTTTTTGTCAATACAACTGCTGTCGCATGGAAAAGATATGGAGGCAATGGCAATGTTAAGAGGAGTAAATTAGATTCAGAGAGATGTACAAAAAAACATGGTGATGAATAGATTACATATCAACACTCGCACACAAACATGCAATGAAAAAGGTAAAAAAAAAATAATAAAAGGACAAATACAAATTTGAAGAAAGACAAAAGAAAAATGTGAAAGATCAAATTTTTTTTAGGTGGTACCATATTGCAAAAAAACCCTTACAGTTATCACAATTATTTCTAACATTTCCTTCATTTTCACAAAATGACTGGAAAATATAGCAAATAAATTTGAGCAGTCACTGAGTCTAGTTATCATGTCAAAGGTGAACTCAACATATCAATATATGCCACAGTGAAAGACTATCATTTTTTAACAATATTTATGAGGTGGGTTTGAGTCTGCTGAATGTTAGAGCTTTATAGAAATAAACAGATTACTTGCAAGAATATCTTTACTGCTGCTACAGAGATCAAATGAAGGAATAAAGAAAAGGACATGTTCCTAAATGAAGGAATCTAGAGGCAAAAATAAAGAAAATTGAGTAACTTGCATGATTTCTATTGAATATTGCTCAAATACTAGAAATGGTTTCAAAAATGTATTTTCACTAAAAATGTGGATCAAAACTTTAAATGTGTCAATTTATAGGCAAAACATTGTCCAAATGATTAAAGTGAATTATATGGGACTAAAAAATGAATTTTTTATTATACTTAGATTGAAACTAAAGAGGTTGTTTCAATTAATTTGCACAAGGGTGTATGAAGGTCATATGACTAAAATATCACACCTCAAAGATGTGATAAGAGCTATGGGTGTTTGGACAATTTTATTGTCCTAAATTGGGATGTCAGTTATTTTTGAGAAGACTTAAAGATCTGGGGTTTTCGGGATTAAATTTTAAAAATTGTAGGCTTACTGCTGAAAAAACAATGTTTTCTTTTGCCATTGATTTTTTCTCTCATTTATCAACATGTCCAGATTGCTTTTGGTTCTCTCATTTATCAACATGTCCAGAACACAAAAGTGAACCTGTTGGATGAAAGATAATGCCACTTAAAAATAAATATAGTAAAAAAAGGTTCTTTTTGTTATTCTTTATGGCAGACAAAAAAGGCACACAGATAAAGACAAAATTATTAGTCACCCATGAACCATAAAAATTGAATTTAAAATTTTTCCCCCCGTCAAGTACTTTTTAACAGATTGTAAAATTTTAACATGGCATTGCTAAGCATGTCAATTTTCTTTAGAAAGAATAAACTTTTATTTGTATAGAATAACAGAATTATTTTGAACAAAACCAAAACTTACCAGAGTCAATATTATTACTTCCCCGCCACCATACACACACATTTAAGAACTTTTTTTTTTGTGGAGCCATAGCACGAACTAGTATTATGTACTGATGTGCTTTAATTTTTTAATGCTCTAAGCTTGTGAAATGAAATTACCATTGAGGTTCATCTTCCAATATAAACACAGTATAACAACTTTAGTAAGAGTTTCACAGCTATTATTTGTTAAATTCTCATGTTAAAAATAAAAGAAATTCGACATGATTAGCAGAATGGTTGATGTTCACCAAGTGGGTGAAGCATAAAGTTATCGAAGTATTTTCAAGTATTAAGAACTGAAATGAGAAGTTTTATGAAGAATTTCAAAGAGAGCCACACTTTATAGAATAAAACTGGTGAAGGTGGGAAGCAAAAGATTTCAAAAACTCTGCAAAGAAAACTCGTGAGAGGTGGGTCTAAAGACCTTACACCAACTGCCATGACATTGGATATTAGCTTAAGACTGAAGTTTCATTAGAACCCTTGCACAGGAAGGGAGTACAAAAGTCATAGACCAAAATAAAACAAAAAAACTCCTCTGGCAGAAGAGATATTTCCAAAACAGACAGAAGTATGTTAAAGACAGCCTGGAAAAATAATGATGCATACTGGAAGCATGTCATTTGGTCTGATGAAATGAAAGAAGAGCTCTTTTCACCATAGAGATGTTTCCTATCTCTGGAGAAAGAAATGAGGGTTGTATAATGTCAAACCCACACTAAAAAACACTGACAGAGGTATAATGATATGGGAATATTTCAGTGCATCTGTAACTGAGAATCGTGTGAGGCTGGAAGGAATCATAAAGAAAGAAGTATGTAGGAAGACTGAGGGGAAAAAAAAAAAAAAAAAAAAAACTAAAGTAGACAGCAGGAAAACTTGGCCTGGGTTATTGTTTTGCCTTCCTGCATGACAATCATCTAATGCCTATATCACTTCTGGTGAAGATCTACACCCAGAAGACCAAAGTGAATATTATTAACTGGCCTGCTCAAAGCCCTGAATTAGAAAATATATGGGGTGAACCAAAAACCAGAGTCCATGCCATCAGTCAATTAAGTGCCATACGTGATACACACATGTCTCTTTTGATTCACAACTGAATAGGCAGAAGATTTTCCTGCAGTAAGTTGCCATTTCTTTCTGCAGTAGACGAGTTGCCAACTAAGGCTATAGGACCCAGTCTGTTTTGCGATTCAACCCACAGCTGGAGGGAGAAAAACTGGATACATACTTTTACCAAAGTAACCTTGAAGGATTCACCAAAGAAAATGGGTTGGTGTTCCTCAAGAGATGGGCCTAAAACTTATTGAAAATTAAGTGATTATGGGTTGTTAATCAGCAAAAACGATACACAAATTTTTAGCATCAACATGAAGGAATTAATAATTTTGACCATATTTTTGAAGTTTGTGAATTGATCTTGTTTGTGTGTGCAGAGTAAAACAATATAAGATTCCTAAATAAAACTCATACATTTAGAAATACTGTTAACAATTCCTGGTTCTGTTAAACAGCATGTGAGAAATAATTTTAAAACAATTCAATTTTCATGGATGTAGGGGTCTAAAAGTTTTCTCCTCAACTGTAGATCTCAATTGAGAACATTGAAAATAAACAGTGACCAAAATATGATCTTGATTAGAAATTGTAACATTTCAAAAAGCAATGTTAAATTGACATAAGAGAGAAATAACAAAAAAAAAACAAAAAAAAAAACAAAAAAAAAAACAAAAAAAACAGACATGCAACGGTTCAAATAACATTTTAAAACATGGTTCTTGGCAGTTGATAATTACAATTTTCATCTTGATGCTAATATTGTGTTCATCACCAATAATGTAAAAACCTGAAAAGAGAAGTGATTAGAGCATTCTTTTTATGCAATGCAACAAAGATGAAAAGAGGTATTTGTTTCTTACCAGCTTTTGGCTTTGGGTTTGAGATTATCAATAATGGCCTGAATAACATCACTAGTAGTAGCTGTACCTCCAATGTCAGGGGTATGCACCTGACAAATAAAAAAGACATATGCAAATACAATGGGTACTACTACTACTACTACTACTACTAATAATAATAATAATCCACACTGATATAAAATAATGTATTTGACAGATTCATTCATTCATTTTCTATGGCTTATTAACTCTTTGCAATTTATTAAAGCCAGAAAATATTTTTAGATTGTAAGAATTTTTGTTTCTTTTTTGAAAAAAAATAAGTATTTAGTGATACAAGTCTTGTTAATTAACCCATAGCTGGAAGAAGAAGTGGATTCATACCTTTTCCAAGGGTATTTGTATGTCAGTGAATATAACAAACACACATGAAATTGGAATTAGGCTCTCGGATTAAAAATTCTGAGCCATTATCCATTACACCACCCACATATCCAAGCTTAAAGCACCTGGTAATCCCAAGTAGTCACTCATCTAGGTACTGACCAGGTTTTGACATTGCTTAACTTTAGTGATTATACAGGAACTGGTGTTTCAATGTGATATAGCCATAAGCCAAAACAATGTATATGTGTATGTATATTTTAATAGGTGTCTGGTGCAGAGGTTAGCATTCTAACCATGAAATATGGTTCAAATCCCACCATAGTTGAATTGACAAGTGATTTCTTGTCATATCAACTTGGGAGATGATCCCAGCATGCATCACTGTTGAGAAGTGCCTGAAAACCATACTTTTATAATGCCCATTTGTAGGAAAGACTTTATAAACCACAGAGAATAATAGTAATGCCTTAAAACAATACTTGGTCAGATACCACTAATTCCCCACCCCCCATATATATATATATTATAAATTAACTGGTTTAAAATATGTTTTTTTTGCTACACAGTAATAACCATGTTTCAAAAATGGAAGCTAAAAACTTCAAATTTAATTTTGTAATTAAAATAAAAACATTAGTTCCATTTCATCTTCAAGCGAATATTGGAGTAATTTATTTTTTTAAATTTACTGAGTTTTAAAGGCACACAAAAATTCATAATTCACTGTTTCCAAGGATACAGAGAAATCCAATCATTCAGACAAGGGGTGATAGAGTGTTCATTTTTATTAACTTTTGTTGTAATTAATAACTGATACAACAATTCATATTATTCTTATATGACACATACCATATAAATTAGTAACAATATTTAAATAATTATAGAAGTAAAAATAAATAAAAAGAAAGACTTGAGAAAGTTTAAGTACTAAGCATATAAATTATATTGCCAAAAAAAAACTACAGAGAAATAAGGGAGATAACTTACCTTTTCATTTGATAGGACATTCATCACAGACTCTCTGAGCAAAGTGGCATGATGATTATGGCTGAAAATTAAACACAGAAGACTGGAATAGGAATTTGATTAAGCACAATTTATTGCTTCCCTTAAAAACCTTGTTTGTGATTACTAATGGCTATTATCAGGATCACAATCATGATCTCAGTAATCCATTGGAGTTGCAAGAGCACTACATATAGTTCAGCTGTAGCAGCAGTGGTGATGTCTTGGGCAAGATAGCCTGCCTGAACACAATCCTCTTAAGGCTGCTTTGAATTCAGAGTTTTCCTTCTCCTAAAGTGGTTGCCAATCAAGGCTATAAAAGTTCCGTCTATCCAGGTATATACAGCATAGCTTGGAGAAAAGATGGATTCATACTTTTCCCAAGGGTATTTGTGTGTAAGTGAATGTAATAGACTGGAATTTGAACTCGGCTCTCCAATTTCTCACTCTGAGCCACTATCCCTTCCACCACTGCACCTTCAACCATTATCAGTATGGTTCAACATAAACACACAAGTTTGGAATGTCCTATCAAATAGAAGTTACCAAATCACCTGATAATGAATCAGAGATTGACAACACTGCATTATTTGAATCTTTCAATTTTTCTCATCATTAATGAATAATATTTGCTACATATTACAAAAAAATGCCATTTCTTCCAAGTGAATTAAAAAAAAAAAAAAAAAAAAAAGGCTAAAATTAAATTCTCTTTGTTAACATTTCTGCTGCTGAGGACATACTTATACATCTGCCTGCTGATGATGTATATATGCATTTTCAAGAGACCATGAGAAATTGCTGACTTTATAGTCATAGCAATTTCCTCTTTATTCACCCAAAACTGGGAAGCTCAGCTGGAGAAAAGGGAGACAAGAGGTAAAGCACAATAGCAAGAGAAAGAAAGAACAATTCAGTGTGAAAAGGTGATTTTAAAAAAAAATCTTAATGACAATTCAATAGAGAGCAATTTTGATATTGAAAACTTAAATTAGTTCAGATATTAAAAAATATTTAATTGATTTTTTATAAATTTAATTAAAAATATCATCAACATGAGGAACTTTGTTTCTGAGGAATTAAAATCATAGATGCACCAACATTGCATATATTAATCACACACTAAAAATAAAAAGTAATCATGGCATCGTCTTTGAGAATACATTTGATACAGAGTTTTGCAGTTTGAAACATCATGAAATATAAAATGTTAGACAAATTAATTTTGATGACGACCTGCATGAAACATCGTTTCTTCTTGACTGGAAATAAATCATGTTATAGACAATGTATTTTTGAATGACAAATCCAAAAATCTAGAAAAAAAAAAAAAAAAAAAATAATCTATATTACATATTTCAATCTTCGAAAAGACTTCTTCAGAAAAAGTCCTGTCCTTTCAAAAGGACAAAAAATGCCTAGATTAAGATTTTTTCCATTTTATCAATCAATCACCCAATATCCATCTGATATATACAGTTGTATATCATATCTGCCCTTTATAGATTTTGCAATAAAGTCAACAATAACTTAATGCATAAATTTTTTCATCACTAAGGGAAATGGAAAAGAGTCAAGTTTACATTGAGATAACTACATTACTGTTAGCATTGACAATACAAATCATCCTTTTGTTTCTCTCTTTATTTTAAGGTTCAAAGTTTTGGTGTTAGAAAGATCTTTAGGTATTCAGAATTATCAGAAAATAAATTTATACAGTGAATTACAATTTAGCCCAAAGATTACTCTTGCGGATTACACATAGACAATGAAGAAAAACATCTATTTAAAAAAAATAAAAAATGATAATCTCCTTACCCAAGATAATCTAACATATCACAACTTGCAAGCAACATTCCTGTGGGGTTGGCAATATTTTTTCCTTGAATTGAACGGCCTGAGTTACGAGTTCCCTGAATTTGAAAACAAAAAAAAACAAAAAAACAAAAAACAATAACAGTGAAATTAAGCAGACATGGTTTAGTCATTTTTTTTTTTTTGTGTGACATGGTTAAACTGTAGATCAGACCTGACATGGCCTGTTTATTATTTCCTTCAATTTTACGAAAAAGAGAAACTGCGTTAAAATTCTGTTGCATTTCACTCATATTTAACACACCATTTTTACAAACAAATTTTATTTCCCGCTAAAATTTGTGACATAAATCTGTTTCTTTATCTTCCTCTAGAAATAGTGAAGGATGCCTGAAAAAATATTTGTCTATTCTTTTTGTTGAAATCCGTTCTTTTATTTCTTTTCTCCACATTCATTTCATCATAATACACAGTGGGCTCAAATTTGCAAGGCATGATATTTCCGTATGAAATTCCTCGTGTGTCTTTGATAAGGAATAAGATTAAAAAAAAAAAAAAAAAAAAAAAATCAATAATATTATTACTCTTTGTTATTACTATTGTATTAAAATAATCATTTTTTTTAAAAATAGATCATTTTTCAGTGGCATTAGAGAAAAATCAAGTGAAGATTAATGATGGGGAAGGCAGAAATGGTTTAACCGTCTGCCTGGCCTGAGGTTGAGAAAGGTTAAAGATTGGCGTCCGTGACTTTAATATTCACAAAATCAAGTGAAGATTAAAATTTAGCGTTACACACGTGCTAATGAGGTGTGTCTGGGCTCCATAAAAGCAGGTTGCTTGGAGAAATTGGCAGAACTGCTTTATGCGTTGCAGCGTTCAGACATTTTCAGACGGAAAAAGTCACTGTTGAATTTGCTACAAGAAGCAAACTAATTTTTGCTCAAATTAAATCTTTATGGGTTTATATTCCAGAAAAATATGTAGTTTATTATATATCTGTTTTATTTTACAAGTCACCACACCATGGGACAAATAAAAAGGCATAAAAAAATAAAGCCAGATAATTCTGTTTGAAATGCCTGGTGGTGGGTCTTCTGATGATCAATAACAGTTGTGGTGGTTATTATTGTCTTAAAATAATCATATGTTTTAATGGCAGCCAGTAGCAAAACTTTGAGAAAAGAATATTGGGATTGCCAGAGATTGATCAAACAGAGAAAGAAAGAAAGAAGGAAGAGGAGAGAGTTTATTAACTGGATGATAATTGTTGAAATTGCAGGAAGATGGATTGAAAAGTTGGGAAGAAAATTAAAAATGAAATGCATTGAAAAATCAAGTTTTGAAATAATTCCAAGGAGAATTGAACTCAAATTTAACGAGACAGAATTCAGTAAGATTGAGCAAAACCAAGCCAATCTGTCCTTCCCCATTTCCTGCTGATAAGAAAGAGACCATCAAGGTATCCATGAAGACATCAGATAAAATAAAAACGTTGATGATAAAGAAACCAGGGCGGTTGCTGAAATAAATAACATTCATGATTCCTCTGGACAAAAAAGAGCCAAGAAAAACCATTTGGTTTGAATCAGCCACCCAGAAGAAAAGTATTCTCACAGAGATAGACCAGCCTGGCACATTCTTTCATTATAATTTCTGTTACATTCACCCAGAAAAATTTTATATCTGAACATTAATTCAGATTCCATTGGATACAAGTGGTAAGGAAAAATTAATTACTATTTTGAAGTGACCATGGACAAGAATGCTGGGTGGTCTATTCAATTGTAAAATATGCATACGACAGAGAAAAGATAAATTTTCGTTTTAAGGAGTGTGAAAATAGATTTTTGTTTCCTTTTTCAATTCTTGAGTGGTTTGGTTGATTGATAGATCCCAGCATGGGGCAAGTGGATAGATAAGGATTAATGACTGAAAATCTCTTTTGATTTCACTGTGCCATCTAGAAGTTGGATTTTTCACTTCAGCCCAGGGAGTGGGCTGAGATTGGCTGCCGAGAAAGTAGGAGAGAGAGAGATTAGCACCACCTATATGAAGCTTTGGTGTGAGTTGAGGCATAAAGAGAATTAGAATTAAGGGGTGACTTGATCCCTCTGATCACTGTCAAAAGTGGGGGTGGATATCCTCAAATTTGGAAAACCACTTGAGTAAATATAATTTTATATATGGAAATTTAGAAAATGTTGATGCTTAAGGTAGAAGAAAACTGAACCCAGAAACTAGTCAACCCCACCCCTGACGGACACAAGACTCCATATAAACTGGAGGTTTTGGATAGTCGAGACACAAGAGACATAGAGAGGAAGAGAAAGTCCTCACACTACTGTTACTGGAATCCACATCATTTGCTGAGACCTCATGACCAAGACCTTGTGCCAGACCTGAAGACCAGAATTTAGAAATTTAAGTCACTACTACAACAAGCTTCAGACTCCAAAGGGGATCCCAGTGTCTTTTGATTATAATAACAAGTGGAAAGGATTCAAAATTTTTAACAATCCAATAAAACCAAGAGTGACAGAAGAAAAATATTTTATTCATAGTAATTGAAACCTTAAAACATGCCATTTAACAAACAATGATGGAATTTTCATTTTTTAAAAATGACATCCTGTAAATGGCGTCCTCCTGTGCGAATGCATTCTTGAAATCTGCTGTTGAGATTCCTCGTTGATTGCTGTAACATCTCAGCTGGGATACTGTGAATTTCATCTTGAATTTTAAATGGCGAAATGTTTACTTGCTCAAGGTCACTGTCTCGTAGTGTTGCCACTTGCTCATATCTGGCAATACGCATTTCAAAAATTCCCATTTTTTGGGGTCACCCTATATAAACCAGATCATTGTTACATTTTTAACCAGAGTTAAATCTTTATTCCAAAGGATTCTTGTTTTTTTTAGTGTAGCTCCCAAATTGTCAAACCATCCTCACTCTAGTCTGCTTCATCGGTGATCTTCTCACCCTCTGAGATTGAAAACACAATGTAGCAGAGGAGTGAATGGTCATGAACAGACAAATGTCAGCTAAGTCGAGTGGAACCATGCCACCATCATGATACCAGCGACAAAACGATTTACATGCTAATAAGTGAAGAGCCAACTAAATGTTAACCATAGGGGTCTGAAGGAACTTGAGGACTGATGACTGGATGACATTATTTGTTACTGCTGAGGGTTACATAATTGGTTGCCATTGACCAGGATCAACACAGTGAAGGTTACAATACAATAACAGAAGCACACAGATTTTAACTGAAATGAAATCCTTAAAGGTTTACCTTCCAAAAAAATATACACTTTACTTTGTCTCACTTGTGGAATTACAAGTTGCTGGACATCGGAATTTAAAAGACAAAAGAAAAATATTTGAATTTGTGGGAGTAAAGAGTAGCATTGCCTTCTTAGTAGGAGGCCATTTTATAACCTGAATTTAAGCCTTTTGAGTTATTTCTGGATATTCTTTTTCTTCATCACCAAACATCACTGAACCTCTGCACATCATTGCTGTAATTTGTCAACCAATAAAGATTTCTCCATTTTTTAAGTTTTTTTTTGTTCAGCTGATTGAATAGAATCTTTTTTCAGCATTTCTTCATGGTTACCTACTGTGTGAGAATTTTTCATATAAAGGATTATGAAGAAGAAATGGAATTTTGTTGTCTATGTAGAATATCTGGCCATGTTTAATTATAATTGGCAGAAATGCCCAACAAACAGAACTGACAATGTTTCTAATAAACAATAAGAAAAGAAAAAAAAAAGAACAGGGAAAAAATAATACTAAGCAGACACACACATATATATATATATATATATATATATATATGTGCAAGACAAAATTAGACAAAGTAACAGTAATAAGGCAAAAAGTTTCACAAATTAAGAATGGTGTTAACTCACAAAAAAGATACAGACAAGTATTGTAGTGAAAGAAAGAACAAAAATATGGCAGATGAGACTGAAATGAGACTATCTTATTGGCTAGGAAGATCATGCATCTGTATGATTTATCTATAAATGTGGTGAGGGAATCTTTTTAGCTGCCATTCCTACCAACATTGAAACTAACAGTCTACATGCCAAATTTTTCAAACTAATATTCCACTGCTTTTATATGAGCCTTTATAGACAAATAAAAGAATCAGGGAAAGACATAAAAACAGTAATACATACAAAATTATTCACTAAGCTTTCAGAATTAGATAACTGAGAATTTTTGCACTGGAAGACTCAAGAAAATTTTTTGCTGAATTGGAGTATCATTAGAACAAAAAGTATGTGAGAGAGAAAGAGAGAAAAAAAAAAAAGAAAAAAAGCTTATCTGTTCAAACTTTGGTGATAAAAAAATTCCAGAGCTTTCAATTTTCAGGAATTTGTGAAGATAATACTTTTTGTGAAAAACATTCCTTAACTTCTTTTCTACTTGATTCTTTCAGTTAACACATACAATTTACAATGCTTGTTGAAATTCTGTTTCTTTCTTAGATTTTCAAACAGCTTCTTTTCCAATCCAATATAATCGTTAATGGACCCAGGAGTAGAAAAGTAATTAGTGGCAGTAAAGAAAAATTTAAATTAGTATCATTTCATCATCACTATTCAGAAAATGAGTTTTTCCCAATCATAATTAACGGTTGCAGTCACAATGAAATTTCATGCTTTGAACATCTATTTGGACTCGAGTTCACTACAGACTTCAAGCTGAATTGTTATCTATCCTTCTTATCCTCATAAACTTCACTTCTTATCACCTTTTCTACACATATCACAAATCTCATTCACTGTCATTTTAACTGTAAAACTCTACCTTGAATGGCTCTTGAGCCTTGTATTAGGTGAATTTGAGTTAAAAAAGGGTATAAAGATGTGTATCAATATATTAGTAACATAAACAGAAGGAAACTATATCAGAATCAACAGTGAATCATTCAGTGTCAAATCAACAAGGGTCTGACCATCACCAACACAGACTTCTTTCTTTTTTTTTTTTCAAATTTGGTATACTTATAGAGCTTCATGATAGAAATTGAATGGTACCTATTTTACATCTCTAGGTCAAAGGGTTCCCAAGATATGACCTTTTGCCAAAAAGGTGAACTTTGGAAAATAATCACAATGTTTAAATATCAATATCTCAGTTGTTTTTTCACTGTCAAAGCTAAATTACATACCATTTTAAAGTATTTGGATGGATCTAAAAGGTGATCTATTTATTTTTTTTGTTTAAAGCTCAAATAAGATAATTTGACCATCTCAAAAAGTGCATCATTAATTTTTTTTTTTTTTAAAATTTGACAACAAATTTGTCTGCCTTATTGTATATGTCCAAAATTTTGTGGTGGACTTTTGACTGTGGCCTGAGTTACAAGGGTTTTACAGAGTTGGGCCAAATTTAAAATGGTGTATTTGCCACTATATACTAACATTTTCATATTTCCCAATATGTGTTATGTGATTAAATGTTAACCAAAAAAGTGTCATGAATTAATGTTAAGATAACATAAAATAATATGAAAATATGCAACAGAGTTTTGTTAACCATTAACATCATTTGTTAAATAATTTTGATCATGTCACTTTTTCGTATAAAAATCTATTTGTTGTATAATAAAAATGTAAACAAAACCTAAAAATAAGGTTCTTTATTTTCCAGTGAATTGGTCAACATTTAACTACAAATAACACAAATTCTATTGATTTTATGATCACAGTTCTCATGTGAGTATTAATCATCATTCAAAGAACTTTTCAAAGATATACAACTTGACCATATTGGAAGATATGAAAATGTTAGCATATAGTGGCAATATACTTTGTTGCAATTAGAATATATCTCTTTCTGATTCATTCTGTACACTAACTGGATATGAACACCACGAAGGTAGAAAACAAAATAACAAAAGTTGTTTTCTACACATTAGGCCCCATGCATCCCAAGCAAGCTTCAGCAGTGGTCAATCACGAAGGTAGTCACCAGTAAAAGAGATGTCCCTGGGAATTACCAGACCTGCTTAAAAGTAGGTCTGAGAACAACACAGGTAATTGCAGCCTGGTGTGCTGCCAGCAGTCATGCAAGGCAATGCTGTTGCTGTCACCAGTGACGCTGCCTTTGTCATCACCATTCAACAGGACTGCACCTCTCAATGACCATTAGCACTCCCAGGCTTGACCAACCACCTCAGCTCTCCAGCTTCGACTTGAAAACATCTCAACCTCGACTCCTCCCAGTTACACGCCTTCATTGACGCCAACCTCGTCACCTTGGCAAATATCAGTCACGAGCAGACGACTATCCAGCCTGGACATCACCAAGCTACAAGCCTTCATCGTCAACAATGCTGTCACTTCGACAAATATCAACCAGCAGAAATTGACTCTTCATTGTGATCTCAATCAGAAACCTCCATTCCATAGAACAAGCCTACCAGCTCCCAATGTCACCTCGGCCTAACTCGACTTGTTTACAAGGCATTCCCTTTTCAATTGAAACGGTGACCTCCATTCCATAGAACAGGCCTACCAACCCCACTATCATCTTAGCCTACCTTGACTCATTTACAAGGAATTCCTTTCGCAGTCAATGCCAGCAACCTGTTCCACAGAACAGACCTACCAAGTCCTGCTGTCTCTTCGGCCTACCTCAAATCATTGACAAGGCAATCCCTTCACAGTTGATACTGCAACCACCATTCCATGGAACAGGTCTACCAAAACTACATCAATCTGATGTCATCCTGTTTCAATACAACAGCTCTACCAACCAATGAAAATGACCTACCACCATGACCTTGATCAACCAAATATGCATGGACCATATCTTGTGACCTCAATCAGGCTAGCACAAGAAATAGGTCAACTTCCAGTGCTACACTTACACCAAATCACCATCCTGATGATTACCCACTGAAACTGTCATTTCACCTAGCTTCAACATATCTGTATGATATACTACCCTCCATTGTGACCTCATTCAACCAACATGGGCACCAACTGTATCCTGTGACTTCACACCAAACCCACACAAGAATTATGTCAACTCTCAGTGCTACCCTTACACCAACCGCCAGCCTGACGACCGGCCACTGAAACAGACATCCCACGCATCCTTCAACATCTCTGTACGACATGCCAACAATAAACATTGTTCAAATCTAATCCTCATTCCTTTCTCTCGCTACCAAACGTTTAATATAACAGTGGTAAATACAAAAACTCACCATTTTAAATTTGACTCAACTCTGTAAAACCCTTGTAACTCAAGCCACAGTCAAAATTCTACCACAAAATTTTGTGCATATCTTGCCATAAGGCAGACAAATTTGTTGTCAAATTTAAAAACAATTAAGGATATGCTTTTTGATAAAATTAAAGGTCAATGTTTAAGATCATGGTCAAATTATCTTATTTGACCTTTAAGCAAAAAGAAATAAATAGATCACATTTTAGATCTTTTACTTTAAAATGGTATATAATTTAGCTTTGTAGATGAAAAAACAACTGAGATATTGATATTTAAACGTGATTATTTTCCAAAGTTCACCTTTTTGGCAAAAGGTCATATCTTGGGAAGCCTTTGACCTAGAGATGTAAAATATGTATCATTCAATTTGTATCATGAAGCTCTATAAGTGTACCAAATTTGAAAAAGATCTGTGATGGTCAGACCCTTGTTGATTTGACATGGAATGACTAGTGATGAGGCATATAGAAATCATTTTACCGTTTCAAAGATAGCATAATCGTCACCAACGTTCATTCCTGAGACCAGACCAGCTCCACCAACCATTCCAGCAGCAACATTGCTGAGGATATTGCCATAAAGGTTAGGCAAAACAAGAACATCAAATTGTTGAGGATAAGACACCATCTGAAAAATACATTTAGACATGGCATCAAACAAGGAATTTGAGTGAAATGAGAAACGGAACAAATTACAGAGATTTACATTCATACTAATGTCCTCATCTTTGTTGTTATTCTCACAACATTTCGATCACTGTGACCTATGGCCTTCTTCAGGTGTCCATTGCTCCAAATAACCTTCATGAAATTTGAAGCTCAACACATTATTTTATTATTTGCTGGAGGAGACTGTTCTCATTCTGTTGTCCAGGTCTAGAGATGTCTTGTTCTTTTTAATGCTGCTCACTATGTTTCCACACAGTATAAGTCAGCACATGAGTGAGAACGTGTCAATAACAGCACATGAGTGAGAACGTGTCAATAACAGGACATGAGTGAGAACGTGTCAATAACAGCACATTAGTCAGAACGTGTCAATAACAGCACATTAGTGAGAATGTATCAGGATAATTTGTCATCTCCAAAATTCAAATAGATGTTTTCAGAGAGAATGAAAGAATAGGTCTTATCAAACAATCATTTGTCACATTTAAATGCCAAGCTTCTGATTTTATAAGCACAGCTTAGATATGGCACAAGGCTGAAAGTATGGGACATCAAGTGATGACTGAACTCACTACTAAGTCATAGCAAGACAAGCTTACTAAACATTACACCATGTTGAGGTACCCTGTCAAGTTTTTTTCTTGCTAGCAACAGGATGGGAAAATACAGTGTTGTTCTGCAGTTTCATAGGAGCATCTTAAGAGTTAACAATTACGGTCTATAATACATTTCTGTTTTTTCTTTACATATATGTTAGTTTATAACAATAACAAAGACGGTTTCATCAAAAGGAAGAAAGAAAGGAACAATTGACCAGTATATTTCTGAAAGATAACTCTTTTAAAGTAAGCAGTCTTTATAATTAAAGTACCCAATATCAAGATATAGAGTATTATTAGTCATAAAGAAAATGAAATTTTCACTTACCTGCAAAACTCCATGAAACACAGAGTAGGGGCAGATATGTGAACATTTAATTTTATTTGCTGGTATTTCATAAAGAAACTAACAATATTGAATAAAGAGACTAACAACACAATAAAAAAAATTATCAATACTGTTTTTCATTTATTTTCAGACTGTTACAGGCAAGCCTCCCAAAATGTTCTTTTTCTGCATTTTCAGAAAATGAATAAAGTCGTTGAAGAGACATGAAGTAACAGATATGTGGTTCTATATTGATTGAACATGTGAGCAATGCTAAACAAGGGAAAAGAAGGACATTTATACTTAATATCAGAAAGAGATAGCTAAAATTTCTAGGGTACATAATAAGGAAAGAAGGCTTGGTAAATTTGGTACTCACAAGACAGACTGAAAGCAAAAAGGACAGAAGAAAACAATGCATAACCTACCTAGCAAAACAAGGTTTAAGACAGACAACAAAAAGACATTTATTGAGAGCTGCAAATGACATGAAGTAGTGCAGAGCTGGGATCACCCATAATCTGTAGGTACACGCCACATAGAAGAAGAGTTTACTTACTTGCATGCAAGCATTATCCACTATCATGTTATTGAATTCTATGTCTGGATATCGCTCAGACACTTTTCGGCAACACTCAAGAAACAAGCCATCTGCAAGTTTCCTGAAAGAAAATAATCAGAAAAAATTCAATAGATCAAGGCAATGTACATACATTTACATAGATCACATTCAGTGCATGTGTGTGTTTGACACAACAGGCCTCAAGGAACAATAAGGAAGAATGAAATAAAAAAAAAAGTTTAAAAAATGAAAGATTAAGTTGTTGATCCAATTGATTGATTCATTCATTTTCCATGGCTTATCAACCCTTTTGCAGTTTATTTAGGGCCAGAAAATATTTTTTAGATTGTAAGACATTTTTGTTTTTTGGAGACAATAATGATTAGTGATACAAGTGTTGGTTTCAATCCTTGTAGGAATGACTGCCCCTCACCAATTTATAGGCAGAAGTGCATAAATGCAAGCTGGGTTTTTTTCCTAGCCAATAAAATAGGCTGGTTCTCAGTTTCATCTGACTCAGTCCTGGTCTGTCTTGTCTTGAAGTCAGAATGCTACATTCACTTGTCTAAACTTGCTTTTGTGTATCGACCCCAGTTCTTAGTTTGTGAACTTTTTGCCATATTACTGTTGCTTTGCTTTATTACTGTTAATTTGTTTTTCATATATTTTTTGTTTGTTTTATATTATTTTTTACCCTGTTTTTCTTTCTCTTGTTATTGCAAATTTTGTCAATTCTGCTTGTTGGACAGTTCTGTTACTTACTTTGCATTTGACCATGGCTACTCACTCCACAACATGTTTTACTAATTAACCCATAGCTTAGAGGAAGAGGTATTTGTGCATAAGTGAATATAACAAACGCAACGGGAATTGGAAGTTGGCTCTCCAATTAACTATTTCAAGCCATTATCCATTACACCACCTGCACATCCAAACTTACAGCAACTAGTATTCTCAAGTGGTCAACCATCAATGTACTGACCAGGCTTGACATCACTTCTGTGATAGTATGGGAACCATGTTGCAATATAATATGGCTACAAGACTTGGTGATTCAAGCCTAGAATTATTCCAGGGGTTACCAGTAATTTCTCATCACTCCCCTATTTCATTTGCTATTAAGTCTTAATGGAATTTTTAATGTTTGAGAAAATGACACTTTTATAGCCATTTTCTTTTTTTATTTTTAATATCATGTCCCTTTAGGATGTAAGCAATCATGATTCTCCACAGAGTAGGCTTTCAGAGTCTGTCTATATTTCTGAGATGAGGCATTATGTACAGTATTTACATTAGTTCTTTATCCACTGTGCCATGTGTCCTCAAGGACACATGGCACAGTGGATAAAGGCATTGGTTAGATCCAGTGACAGACCCAAAGAAGGTGAGTTCAATACCTGGTTAAGGCAGTGGAGAACTTTCAGAGGGAAAATTAACAGGAGATAACTGATAACTGACATCCATCAAACATGGCACGTGGAACTAGAACAGTGATCGAAATAAAGGGTTCAGTTCGAAATTCCAACCACCTGAAGAAGGCCGGAGCGTAAAACGACCAAAACGTTGTGACAAATATGGCGACAAAGATGAGGACAATAGTCCGATTAATGTAAATACTGTAGAGGAGGCTTTTTTTAATTATTGCACCCCAAGCAAGGCACTAATGCCACTAGGATGAAGGGGATTACATAGAGTGACAAAGAATGAGAAGAATTTAATGAGAAGTAAGGAAAAGGACAAAAAAAGAAAAAAAAAAACAGAGTTCAGGAAGACAGAAGATGGTAATTGATGTTACATTTAAATATTTGAAGATTGCAGGTGGCAGGGAAGTAAGAAATCAGAAGGGAGTTCCACAGGCAAGAATTATGAGAAAAGAAGCTTTTAGAATAGAAGAGATGGTTGCATCGAGCTAATTCAACTTAGTTGCCAATTTAGTAGTAGACTTAAATTTGAGGCACAAAGGTAAAAAAAAAAAAGCTCATCAGAACAGTTGCCCTGAAAATATTTGCAGAAGAGGGAGAGGGAAACCACATCACATAGGTGAGAAAATGACTGCAGTTGAGATGCCATATTTGTCTTTATTATCTGTGAATTGTCACACCATCTTGGGAAAGATAGTATAGAGGTTTAAAATTTTCCTTTTCTTTTTTGATTGGTTGCCATCAAAGATTAGAGAGCCCAATCTACCCTGCTATTTAGTTTGAAGAAGAAGAGACCAATTCATACCTTTCCCAAGGGCATTTATGCAAAACTCAACTGACTAGCCTGGAATTAGAACTCAGCTTGCTGATTCAACTTTCCATGATAATCAACATCTGTTACAATATCCACATGTCATTTATCGTTATAAAGAATTAATAATATGTTTAGTTAAGTGTTGTCTTCAAATATCCACAGAAAAAGGAAAAGGTTTCCTAAGCAAAACTGATAAAAAGCTGATTAATTAGAAGGGAATTGTTTACACTATTTACATTATTCGAATTATTGTCCTCATCTTTGTCACCATGTTTATCACAACGTTTTGGCTGTTGTACATTCCGGCCTTCTTCAGTTGGTTGGAATGTTGAACTGGGGTAAACTGTTCTAGTTCCACATGCCATGTCTCACGGATGTTAGTTATTTCCTGTTAATTCCCCTCGCCAAGTTCTCCACTGCCTTAACCAGGTATTGAACTCACACTCTTTGGGTCCTGTCACTGGATCTAACTAACACCTTTATCCACTGTGCTATGTGTCCTCATAAATAATAATCACTTATGCACTGTAGTGATTAATGATCATTGTCATCAATATCTTCAGGATAACAGATCAGTCAATATTAACCGTCTACAAGACGAGGAGCAATACTTATTTAAATATTTATTGGGAGGTGATCACCATCATTTCCCGCCATGATAAAATCAAATTTCTTCAGGAACACATCCAATCAAACAAACTTCCTGTTGTATAAACATGAACACTTTCCGCCACATTCTCTCATAAGAAACTTTCTTTACAAGTAAATTGAGAAGTACTAGTAATCCCTCCCAGTTTAATTATTATTGTTTAGCCCTTGGGGACAGATGACATAAAAACCAAAGCACAATGAAAAGCATTGAATGAAAACCATGCATAATGTCTTCCTGGGAAGCTAGAAATAATTTGCAGCAGACGTTCAAAGCACAACTGTACCCCACCCTTCCTGACTCATCTTCATGGTGATATCCACAAATAGCAGCCTGTTGATTAGTGGCCTAAACAAGCAAGAGAGAAAAACCAGCAAACAAAAAAAAAAGGTGTGGTTGGTAGGGAGAGGAGCATTAGTAAAGATGGTGGAAGAAAAGGAGAAGAAGAGATGAGAGTGAGATGTTTGGGCATTTGCATGTGATATAAGAGAATTAGATGAGCAAAATTTAATTATTATTTTAGGAGTTATTTCTTTTAGGGATTTAGCTGAAATATTTAGATTAGGGCATTTATTGCATACATTTTTGTGCTGAGAATCACAACGACAGTGTTATGCAAGTAACACTTGAATTTATTCCTGATTTTCAATGCACAATACACAGACTGAGTGCCAAATCCTGGTAAAATAAATTTGATGAGAAAAATTGCAATAATTGGTCTTTTTCTCAGTTTTACCACTTTTCCACACTCCTTTCTGGTCTTTTGAAGAAGTGTAGATGTTTATCCCTTGTTTCCTGTTTAGGATTTGGTTTCCGGTTCCTTCTAAAGTCTTCTCAATCTTTTATGGTCCCAGTAGCCCCTTACAACTTAGTGACATTATCACCTTATCTGGGGGTGAATTGATTTAAGAAAAAAAAAAAGTACAGTAGAAGTCCTCATATCTGAATGTTTATATATATATATATATATATATATATATACACACACACACACACCATGCACGATAAAAGTCCTCAATGTATAATTATAGAGCTAAAATTTATGCTAAAAATAAATATACATTTTTCCTCACATACACACACAGGCACGTGAATATACTATCCAAACTTCTCAATGTTGCAATTTAGATATTGTAGGAATATGCTACATTTTAATATTTTTCTTTTCTTTGCAGATAATTGTTAGTAACTTGAAATTTCTCCATCCATAATGTCTTGCAATAGAAGAAAGTTCAACTGGAAGAAAAATGATAAAGAAATTCTTTCATGTTACGTCAGAAATTAGAGATTATTGAAAAACTGGACAAAGCTGCTAATTTGTTGAATTTGCAATTTAACAATGATTGCAGAATTTGAATGAAACACTAAAACTGGATGACTTAAAAGAATGGATAAATGAGATTACTGATGAATTACAAAAGAATTCAACAGTAGAATTGCTTCAAAATGATTTGCATTGTCAAAAATAGAGGGAGAATCAAATTCTTGCGATAATGGTAAAAATAAGAACAATGATGGGATTCAGTAGAGAAAGCTATTGATGAGGTCATCAAATTCATGGAGAAAAAATCTTTGTTCAGTCGTACAGAATGTACACTGTGCACGTAATTTGCAGAAATGCTTTACTTTAAAAAAGCTAGAACAGTGAAAAGTAAGCGAAATGAAAAAAGAAATAAGAAAGACAATCGAAAATAAAAATTATTGAACATTAAGCATTGAAAAGTAATATTTACTTTTGTGAAGTCCATAATTTTTTATATATTGTGATAAGTTCTTGTGTTTTCTTAAGTTATAGTCACATTATATTCAAACCTGACCTCTTATCTGAACTACTTTGAAGTTCGGATATGAGGACTTCTACTGTGCTTAATTTCTTAATGTAGAAAATGTTGTAGAGAAAGAGAGGAGGTGGTAGAGAAGCAGGAAAATCAGTGAAGCACAACAAGAAAAGCCAAGTCAAATGACTTTGAGCAAGTGAAACCTGTGGGTCTTGCTGAAGGCCATCCTCCTTTGAACATTGTGGACTGTCATTACAGAATCACAAATTTAGAAACTATATCAGATAACAAAAACCACATCACTTGAGGACTTTTAACAGCAGCAACAACTAAAATGGAAACCACATGTAAGTTGAAGAGAAAATAATGACAGAGAAAAGATGCTGACATTCCACACTACTTCAAATAAAAATTTAGGAAGGAAAACCCCATCAATACTGTATAAACCTCAGTTATCTAAACTGTCTTGATTTATACAACTTTCTTTCTTTTGTCATAACATTGTCTTGCTTGAATGATACTGATCCAGTAATATCTGGTGATGATTCAATCCTTGTCTCCCTTGTGATCAAAACAAACATAACATGGGACAGGGAAAGTAACCAACTTCACAGTTAGTTGCAAGATTCAATCAAGGACACACCAGTGACCAAGGACAGGATGGTGTTGTCATGTAGCATAGGAGGCAGGATGCTCCGCAGCATTATAACTCACTATTAGTCAGAGATATAGAGTTTGCATATGATATTCTCCATACATTAATATCTATGAATTATTATAAGAGTACTTGATTGATTGATTTTTTATGGTTTATCAACCTTTTGCAGATTAGTTAAAGCCAGAAAATATTTTTAGATTGTAAAAACTTTTTGGGTGATAATAATGATTTACTGATACAAGTCTTACTAATTAACTTATAGCTGGGGTGGGGAAGAGGTGGATTCATACCTCTCCCAATGGTATTTGCAAATAAATGAATACAGTGATACAATGGAATTGGATCTTAGCTCTCCAATTTCCAATTCAGAGCCATTATCCATTACACAACCCATACATCCAAGCTTACTGCACCTGGTATTCCCAAGCAGTTACCCATCTAGGTACTGACCAGGCTTGATGTTGCTTAAATTCAGTGATAGTATGAGAAACACTTTTTCAATGTGGGATGGCTGTAATCCTCTAAGAGTGCTTGAAAGTATTTTTGAGAAAAGAAAAGATTTTAGATGATTCTTCTAATACTGAATATACTTGCGTATAGCATATTTTTATGGTTCGTCTTTTATGCCAAAATTGGGGGGGGGTGTCACACTATACACAAGTAATCCTTTTTTTTTTAAAGGTTAAAAATCATGCATTTTCAGTGACCAGTTACATTATACACAGGTAAGCTCCTTTAGCCTGCCTCTTGTTGATTAGGTTCTTTTTGTTTCTACATGAACAGCAGAATGTCATTCACTATGTGTGCCACTTAAATACTACAAATTTACTATATAAATGAAGAATTAGTAGCTCTCTGTTACATCTATCGTAAGTGGGTGGCTGGCTGTGGTGAGTTGCCAGTGCCTAAAATGTAGTACTTAACTACTATGGTATCGTTGTGTTAAGCATACATTCTTTTCATTTAACAAGCATAAAAATTTAATCTGTCATTTAATAACAGTTTTCTGTCATGTTTTGAGTGCATAGATTAGTCAAAGAAATGTTTATCCTTATAGGTTAACCAGCACCAGCTGGATAGCAGCAGCAGCAGAGAACTGTTGCGGCAATACATTACAGCACATATTTAAGCAACCTCAGTTTCTAGCCAAATAAAGCAAAATGGCACCATATGTATATAGAGTATCAGAATGACTTTAATTATCATAACCTGAAGTATGTACATCAACACATGGAACACCCTGCATTACATACCAGTAATCCTAACAAAACGGTTATCATTGGAAAGGTTATACATCAGCGATGTAAACACTTGTGAAATGAAGAGGAATGCAAATTTGCAAGAGGAAAAAAAAATTTATTAATTCTTCATTTATATAAAGTACTAGCAGCATGGCCCCGGCGTTGCCTGTGCTTGGTTAAAAAATCGTACGACTCATACAGTAATCACTATCACTTGACTTAAAATATTTTTGTCCTTCCTTGCCTTTAAAGAAGTGCCCTTTGTCGTGCTGATGTTGCTACATGCCTTACTTCTTGCCTATCTCACACTGCGAATTTTTTCTAATCTCTATACTAAACATTAAATCTGCTATGAAAAAAGAACTAAACAAAATGAACACAAAACGATCAGCTTTAAAAAAGGACTCGTAACTGGAAAAACCAAATGAAAAAAGAATGTTAACAACAAATACTTTTTCACACCCAACCCAGTTCTGCGGAATCAGAATCAACGTTGAGTTTAAGCAAGTGAATGAGACAATTGGAGTAAAGTGCCATGCAGATTTAAATTTTTTCCACTTGTGACGAATGCAGCTATTGATTTATTTGCATGCTAGCATGCTACTTAACATTCATGTCAGTCAGCTGTTGGCTCTCACGCTGGCCAATAGAATCTTCCTGCCTATTCGTAGCAGCCAGCTATAGGCTCTCACTCTGGCCAGTAGAAAATGCCCGCAAACTACATGAAAACTGCCGTAGAAGCATGAAAAAAATTGATTATTTCCACTATCGATGGGAGTTGGGAAATGCAAAATTGGTCTTGGCCTTCACGCTAACTTGGAGCATATGCATGTAAATTTTGGTGCAAATCCATTGAAAATTGCGGCCATACATTCGTTACACACACACACGTATCCTGCCTTTTATAGATAGAGATTTGTTCATTTTTAATGGCATACATAGTGGATGAAGTTTTGCTCTTCATGTAAGGGAAGAAACTTAGGTATTTATGAGGTAGGTTCAGAGTAAAGGAGCTACTGTTGTCAGGCATGAATGGAAACAAAAGTATGGTATCTAAATCTTCATATCAGATATTTCACGGTAAGTGTTTTTTCTTACCCCTTTGGGGTAACTTTGTACAAAAAAAAATGAATGAAGACTATTTGCTATAAAATATGTCCAAAATGACGCCCAGTACTGCAATATTTGACTACAGTCGACCTACTTGTATTTCGCAGAAGCTGCGGTCACATTATTCACAAGCTATATGAAAAAAAATCAGATTTTTTATGAAAAAAAAATTCAGGGGTCGCACTGTACATCTGGTAACCTTTTCTGTTTTCATATTTCACTTTTTTCTATTTCATTTAGAACTAAGTTATGAATTGCTAATTTTCCTTCACTTATGTTTCCAGTTCAGCATCCAAGGAACTCTCAGACACAAGATGCTATCCTTCATGGAAAGTTTGAAAAGATTTTTAAACAAACGTAAAGATTTTTAAGCAAATATAAGTACAAAAGACACACCCTCTTCTACTTACATGATATTTGCTTTGTGGATAGCAGTCACCTTTTTGCGGCCATGACGAACGGCATAGTCAAATGCATATTCAGCAATCTGAGTGGAATTTTGGGCTGTAATGATTTTTAGACTTTCAACAACGCCATTAACATTCTGAAAATAAATAAAAAAAAAATAAGTGAGAAATAGCCATCAACATTATTATTTCAGGTGATGACTGGATTATAAAATCATTATCAACTAAGAATTGTGCCCGCACAATTGAATTATCTTAAAATAGCATACTTTAATATATAGAAATAAATTTCTTTGGCAATTTTATATGAAGACATCTGTAATGTCAAAAAGCAGACATACTAAAAATCCATTCATTAGAAAAAAGAAACAATTCATACCAAAAAAAAAAGTGGTAAAGAAAAATATGGTTTGTTTAATGGCACATCAACTCCTTATAGGTCATTTAATGTTGAAATTTAATGTTCTTGGGAGCAGTGGAAATTTCTTTTAAAAAATATATATTAGTAATAATTTTTTTTAATTTTTTTACAAAAATGTATTGATGGTAATTTTTTTAATCTTTTTTATTTTTTTTTTCACAAAAATGTATTGCTGATAATTTTTTTAATCTTTTTATTTATTTATTTTTTTTTTTTTTACAAAAATGTATTGCTGATATTTTTACTGTAAAATTTTTTATACTTTCAGTATTTTGACCCCATCTTGGGGATTAACTATTTACCCATAGCTGGGACACTAACAAGTTCTACCACTGTGGGGTAATGTGGACCTGGGAACAACAGCAATTAAGAGGTGGTTCCATGTTCCTCAAAACCTCTCAAACAGTGTCCTTGTTACCGGAAGTACTTTAATGTCATACCCAGGATGGTAACAAAAAAATATATATATATTTCTGTAAATTGGTAATATCAAAATATAACAATTGAAAACAGCTAACCTTGTTTATCAGCCTTTTCTCATCAGAGCAAATATTGAGGACAAAAAAAAAATGTGCACAGCAAATAAAAAATATACAACTCCAGACTAATGTTATATGCAAACAAAAAATATAACATTAATTACTTAATTTCCTTTAAGCCCACCAACCACTCCTTCTGTTTACAGAGAGATGGTTGGTAGGGCTTAATATATACTAATTCAAAAACCTTCAAGTGTTAAATCAGTACTGGTCTGATTTAGCACAGAGAACATCTGGGCTATAACATCGGGTACACTGCTGGTTTTTAAACAAATGTTCAGCTATTGCTGAACATTATACCTTAACACACTAATGTAAATTGTCCACCTTTCCTGTGTGACTACTGTCTTAAATTATTTGTGTCCCATTAAAGTTACATATTTTGCATAATCAATATATACTAAGCTTTTAACAGTTGCCAACACAGCACTACATCTTGAAAGTGAGTTGATGATACAAGTATTTTATATTTAAATATCAGAAGTAATCAATAATTTTATAAATTTGCTCAGTGAAAATTTTTTTAAAATATATCAGAGTGAACAATACAAGAAAAGAAGGATGTATACCTATGTTTAATAGGTACAGTGGATGAAGATTTATATGAAGTTGATAGCAAAACTTTTTTTTTTGGGAAAAGATATTAGAATAATTCAGGATATTCACAGGCAACAAACTATGTGGATATGAAAAAAGAAGTAGAGCCTGGCGCATGAACATTTTGTAACAGTAAAGATAGATCATGTATCGACCATCATAAAGACTGAAAATAAAATTGACAAAGATTATTGTTTAAGGTTGACGGACCGCATCCAAATCTTAATTAGTTTTTTTTTTTTATGAATTGGTCAAACCCAAACAAAAACATTGTTTTCAATCGGGGAGTCTACCGATTGAATAGAATTTTATTATAAACAATTGTCTTGTAAATGGAATTTTAAAGCATTCTGAATGTAAAATAAAGAAAAAGTGTGCAAGACAATAAGAAACACTATCTGCCAAAAAAAAAAAAAAAAGAAAAAAAAGTTTTGTTGAAATCGGTTGATAAATGTAGAAAATCTGATCCCATAAAACGAACACACATTTTGCACAAACAACCTGGGTTTTGTAACGATATGAGTTGTCCCCCTTTCATTCTATCGATGACTCTTAATCGTGTTTTCAAACTGATTTCTAGTGCAAAAGCTTGGTAATGTTTTTTTCCAATTTTTGGCGCTATCAGAACACCGCAAGGTAAAAAATGATGACATTTTTGTTGAAACGTTGAAAAATATAGGAAAACATCCAATATATAAACGTTTTACACACACACACAATTTCACACAATCTGCATTTTATAATAAGTAAGATAATTAAAAGCAGACAAAAGTGATTGTTTGATTGAGTTTGTTTCATAGCATATCAATGTCTCTGGGTTATTTAATGTCAAATGTTCAATATTTTGAACACAAATTTATGGCTTCAACTAAACATATTTTCAACACAACTGCAGGTCTTCAGTTGGTCATTTTTCTGTAAAATATATTGTTGGTAATTCTACTATTAATAGATATATTATATTTTATGGATAGCTGGAAAAAAACAGGTGCTACCACCCAAGATCAGTGGACCTGGGAACAACATCAATTTGATGTTTTCCATGCATTAAAAACCCTCCAATTTTCCAATCTTAAACCGTTCTAACCAGGACTAAATCCTAAATGAACTACTAGGATTTATTATTGGTGGACACAATCTTAACAAGATACACAAGATGACACATTCCTGATGGCAGATACAGAAATAAAACTATAGGAACTCATAGACAAGATAATAAAGGAAAGTGAGAAGAAAGGACAAACCTTCAATTGTAAGAAGATAGAATATATAACTGGGCCTTTTCTTCGGACCAAGACGTGAGCTACAAATTGGAGATATCAAAATTAAGCAAGTACAGAAATCTGGGAATTGATTTAAAAGATAATGAAAAATGTGACACAAAAATTTATAGGTACATTGGAATAGTAGAAGATGCCTTCCATAAGCTAAGCAATGTATTAAGAAACAGGAACATTTAGTTGCCAAAATGCTTAGAAACAAAGACAAGGGTGCTGAAATGCTATGTAATGTCAATCATTGTATATGGCAATGAATGTTGAACAATTTCCAACAAGATGAGAAATAAACTTGAGGTAGTTCTATAGAAGTATGCTGGGAATGAAGACGTTTCAAAGAACACTTAGAAAGAGACAGTTGAAATTTCTGGGACACATGATGAGGAAAGACGGTTTCATATTGACAGAGGACATTAAAGGGCAGATGGAAACAGTTTTTATCATTATACCTAATGAGTTTGTATAGATGGATGGCAAAATAGGAAATGGTAGTAATAACAAAGAAGACAAACATTGTTAATAACCAAAGAGAAAAGGAAGTTGTGGAGAGCCACGGACGCCGACGTCCTGAAAGGAAATGACACATAAAAGATAAAAACAATAACATTAAAGAAAACTTGATTTTTTTTTTTTTCATTTTAGTGTCATAAAACTGGCCATTTTGAATAGTATACGTTTTTAAACAAGGTAATGTAACAAAAAAATCCAGAAAAAGCTTTAATTTCAAAAGCTGGTATTGTTAATAAGCAATTAAATGTCTAGGAAGCATTTTAAACAGGATGTAAAGTGTGACATTGCAATCCAAAGGTGCATTGGGATAGTGAAGATGGCTTCCAAAAGCTATGCAAAGTATTAAGAAACAAGAAAATCTCATTAAGAACAAAGAAAAGAGTACTAAATTGTTATGTAATATTGGTCCTCCGATATGGCAGTGAATACTGGACATGCTGATCAGAGATGATGAAAAAACTTGAGGCAACAGAAATGTTCTTCTACAGAAAGATGCTCAGAATAACATGGCCTGAACACATGAGCGATGAGGAAGTTTTAAAGAAATTGGAAACAAAAAGGACATTTATAATTAACATCAGAAAGAGACAAATTGAAATTTCTAGGTGACGTAATGAGGAAAGAGGACTTGGAAAATTTGACACTCACAACATATTGAAGGCAAGAGGGACAGTGGAAAGCAGTGTATAACCTAGCTAATGATCAAATTGCTATCAGAACAGGGATTAGGAGAGAAAACAAAAAGACAAAATTTACTCGGAGCTACAAAGAACAGGAAATTATGGAGAGCCATGATCGTCTATACCCTGAAAGCACACGGCACATAGAAGTATATTGTTAATGTCAGAGTTATCGCCCCTATACTGGATTGCAGAAAAAGGAAGTAAAAAAGCTTGAAACGAGTTTTAGTTAAAAGGGAGACAATATTTATATGAAAGTAAATGAATTAGGCAAATTTAACTTTTTCTATAAAACGTGTTAAAAAATCAAAGCCGCAAAGGTACCCTGTTAAAAATATTTCGGTTTTCAAAAAGATGCGAATTTTTACAATGTGATATTTATTATTTACATTTTATAAAGATTTATTACTTACTATTTTATAATGAAATAAATTTTAAAAGAAATCTTTTTATCTAAAAATTTATAAAAAAATTACAAAATTATGGAAATATTTAAGAGGAAGACATTTCTCTGAACCTATTTTAGTGACTATGTGTCAGGAGCAAATGAAAAAAAAAAAAAAAGGCAGGGAAATGTATTTTTAAAAATTTATAATTAGTTATTTGTCGTTATGTGTTTTAAATTTTCTTGTTCACTGACATTTTTTTAAAATTTATGAATGAAAAAAAATTTTTTTCCTATTTATTTTTTTATAAAATAGTAAATAATAAATATTTTATAATCTTATAAATACAAAATTATTCTTGTAAATAAATAATCTAATAAATAAATAGTATTTAATATCTTTGTTGTCAATTCTCAAGAATAAAGAAAAGGTATAAATCCACTTTCATACATTTTGGTTTTATTAAAATTCTAATCACTGCATTTTAAAATAACAAACATTGTTGAAAGTGTATACAGTAATAGTGGTGTCAAGGGAATAACCTTCCTTTTGACATACCATTTCTTTGCATGTATGAAGGTTAATCTATGGAATCCTCCATACTTGTCTGTCACCCCCTACGGGAAGATGCACTCTTCCCCAAATTAACCTTTAACCAATCATCACTTCACTTTTCCAAACTCAACTTTCCATTGGTTAAAAGGACACAAAAATGTAGCAAGTTGAGACAAATCCTTTTTTCCTGTGCCGCTGTCTGGAGCCTACTTGAAAACCCAAAAATCTATAAAAAAAAGAATCACTCGACTTGATTCAAGTCAATCAGACACTGAGTTTCGAGAGATGCCAGCAGACTCCACGCGTGCCAACACACTGACTCAATAACACTACCAGCCTCTCATCAACTCAACACAACTCGCACTACTATTGCCGCATGAAGAAACTTAACTTACAATTTACTAAAAAAGTGACATTATCACTACGAAATAGTAATTGTACATTTAATCAACTTTAATGATATCAGTCGAAGGCACACAACTCTTCATAACTTGAATCAACACTTACAATTGTTACACACATACACACTATTATTTGAACTCACACATTTGACATTTTACCTTGCAGAAATCAAACTGTTTTAATTTCATAGACAAACTTAAACCATGAACAGTCATTTAACCAAATCTCTGCATGGACACTCTTTGTAGTCTTATCTCACTTGCCATGTTTAACAAGCAGCCTATCATCATTTGGCGGATGTCAAATATATATATAAGTTCATGTTATCGTTGAAATCTACAACTACGTTGTTTTTTCCTTGATTTCTTCAACTTGTATTGTCTTCATATGTTCGTTCAATTTATTTGTTGTGGATAAATGCATAATGGACACGCACATTTTAGGCCTTCACACAATTTCACCTTCTGACACATCTTATTTAGCATAAATTCTGCAACAAACCTTTATCACTATGCAACTTTATTTGCTGTACAAAAAGTTTATCCTCCCACTGAAGGTAACTCTTAATTTTGAATTTGAATTTCATAGCTGTGTTGTCATATCCTGCTATGGCAACAGAAAACAAATTTGTGTAAAATCAACAATAAGGATACTGCAATTGAGAGGCCTTGAAAAAGAATGGAAATGGAAAGAGAAGCAATATTAATGATGCAGGTTGAACATTTCATTATTCTGAGTATAAAATAATTTCATACAAATTAGCAAAAATACAGGATTTAAAATAATAATTAATGTGAAATTCTTGACAAATTACGAAATCTGTTTCCCTATATGTTGAATTTTTGTAAACTTTATGCTTAACTGCATTTACTTGGTAATAAGCCGCAACAACAGACTTTGTTTCAGTTCTAAACTACAAGCTGCACTCAGTCACTATCATTCGTTGACTGTGGGTAACCACCTGTTACCAATATTTACGTGAAAATGCAACACATTCTTTATAAGGATGAAGTGGATAAACAATGAGATATTAGCTAAAAACAACCGCACTTAATCTTAAACAAGAAGGTTTTTGTTTAAGTGAATATGAATAGAACTTTGATTGTAATTTTAACGGCTCAAATGACAGCGGTTAGCTAACATCTCATTCACTCATTGCATGTACTTACCTCATGTTCAAGATTGGCATATTCACCTTCAGTGTTTTCACGGATGATAGCAATGTCGATATTTTCATGTCTGTTCTTGATTCCAGAAAGAGTTTTGCAATGTACAATACTGGCCCACAGATTGAGATTAATTCTGTAAAGATGATCAGAGTTTGAAGATTGAAGATACATTGCTGAGTATGAAGACAATAAATGATTCATTTAGAATTAAAAAAAAATTAAACACACTACTGAGATTTTTTTTAAAGTTCACCCTGTACAAGGCCTGGGGGCCACTTGAGGTAGAGGGTTATGCTGGAGGGTAGTTTATACGTATTGGCGGGGGAGATAACAGTTAACACTAGACTTGAACAGGTTAAGGTTGTAGTGATTGCGGAAACATCTTCTTGGCAGTCTGTTCCACAGGTTGGTTGCTTGTTTTTGATTAACAGCAGATCAACCTCTATGGTTATTTAATGCCAAAATCTAAATATTTTGTACACAATTTTTTGGGGTAGATAATAATGATTTAGTGATACAAGTCTTACTAATTAACCCATAGCTGACGGGAGAAGATGTGAATTCGTACCTTTCCCAAGGATATTTATTTGTAAGCGAAATGGGAATTGAAATTCAGTTCTAATAGCAACTAGCAGTAGAGCCCCACGTTGCCCGGGGATGTAACAGTAAGAGATAGATCAAGTATCGACCATTATAAATACTGAAAAATAAAATTGACAAAGATTATTGTTTAAGGTTGACGGACATGCATGTCTTAATTAGTATTTTTTTTTTTTTTGTTTTTTTGGGTTTTTTTTACGAATTGGTCAAACCCAAACAAAAACATTGTTTTAAATTGCTATGAGTCTACCGATTGAATAGAATTTTATTATAATTGTCTTGTAAATGGAATTTTTAAAGCATTCTGAATATAAAAATAAAGAAAAAGTGTGCAAGACAATAAGAAACACTACCTGCCAAAAAAAAAAAAAAAAAAAACATGAAGTTTTGTTGAAATCGGTTGAAAAATGTAGGAAATCCGATCCCATATATAAACGAACACACATACACACAAACAACCTGGGTTTTATAATAAGTATAACTCGATACGAGTTGTCCCCCTTTCATTCTGGTGACAGAATCGTGTTTTCAAATTGATTTCGTGCAAAAACAATTGTGTTTTTCCAATTTTTGGTGCTGTCAGAACCACCGCAAGGTAATTTTACGTAGTCCTGTGAAGTTTTGTTGAAATCGGTTGAAAAATGTAGGAAATCCGATCCAATATATAAACATAAAGACACACACACACACAATCTGCATTTTATAATAACTAAGATTCCGGGCCATTATACATTACACCACCCACATATCCAAGATTACAGCATCTGATATTCCAAAGTGCTCAGCCATTTAGGTACTGACCAGGCTCGATGTTGCCTAACTTTGGTGAACCAGTGTTTCATCATGATGTGATCATAAGCCCTGTTCTACAAGGCAATGGTTTACAAGAAGAAGCTGTTTGAGTGGAACTTACTTCTCACCGATGGAATACAGAGGGAATGTGGGTGGATTGCTACTATGTAAATGGCATGGTGGGTCCTATTCCTGAGGGTTGGACATGGCGAAATAAAGGAATGTAGTTCGTTTGAGCACTTTCCATGGTAGTAGCAATAGAACAGTGAGAGACTCGTCACATCCACCTGTAAGAAAAAGGTTGGCAGATAGAAAATAATCATTCTCCAACAAATACTTGGAGACGCTTTCGAACTCTATCAAGACTGGAAATTGAGGACTGGTCAGCTCCTGCCCAAATATGGCAACAATACTCTATCTTGGGCTTGGAGATAGACAGCAAATGTTGGTAGAAATGTTTACAAGGCAAAAGTGCCAGAAAGGTTTATGTCTTTTCCAAGGTCATTAGCATGAATGAAACACACTAGCCTAAGATTTTAACTCAGCTTAACAATATTACTCTCCATGCTGATATCAGGTACACTGTCTGCTTGTCTCATTATGGAATCTGAATTGACTACACTGAACATCAAATTGAATACTCCAAAGGCAATCTGTGTTAAGTTCATTTAACATGAGAAATTAGCCTGTGTATCTTAATCTATGAAGATGTCACTATAGGGAGGAGCTTAAGTAGATCATAATTTTTGCATACACTATGTTCAGCATTACCATACTTTCAAATCTATATTTTATTCACTCTTCATTACAGCAACAAATGGAGAAGTACATTTACTGGAGTTGAGACAAAGTCAAAGAAACATAGGAGCTTACCTGAGTGAAACATTCATAGATCTTTGACTAGGATCATTCATTATGGTCTCAATATTCCCTGTAAAGAAAATGAACAGAGAAGAATTAGAAAAAGAAAATTGAAGAAAAGAAATATAGAGCTGTAGCATAAGAATTTTTTTTTTTAAACTATCAGATTGACCAAAAGTTTTATTTGGTTTGTAGGGACTCTACTTTTTATCTTTCTCAGCAGCAAAGAACTTTAGGTGTCTTTTGTAGTTGGGAACTGAAATTGCTTTCACGAGGAGAATTCTATAAAGACTGGAATTAAATGATAATCCAAAAGTGTAATATATGGTGAATTCCAGATAAGTTGTAAAATTCTTTGCCTGATCACCATGAAAGAAACTCTACTTCACTTAGTGATTGTCCATTTAGCATACTCTCTGATCTTTTGAACTTTAAGTTATTGCATCCAGTTTTCATTGCCCATCTGTTACATTACATTATTTTTTACCTATGCAGAAGTTACACAACAAAGTGACTAACATATCCAAGATAATACAAAGGCTTCTTACTGCTTGATTTAGATACTTTGAAGATGTTCGGTATTTCCTGCTCTGTATGATGTTGATTACTTTAAAGTGAGGTCTTCATTTGATTGCTGTCAGCCTCAACTGATTGACCCAACTGTATAATATTGTCCGGTAAAAAAAATCTCAAGCACAAAACCTTACTGTCTGTTGAGTCTGTTGTTTAGTATAGTCTATACTGTATCTGATTGTAACCTACCACGAAAAATCCCCATCCATCATTTATTTCCACTAAATGGCAATTTCCTATTTTATTCAAAACAGGTCAGCACAGCCAGGCAACAATGCTATGACAATGCAGCAATGAAAGTGTTAATAGTTTTGTATGTAAAACTTGCCTTTAAGAGCGACACCATTTCTCTTGATTGAGAGCAAAGCTTTTTCCATGGATGCAGCATCTGCGGTCGAAGAATTGATAGTTACTTCATCAAAATCTACAGGAGCACCAGCAAACCTAGATAAAAAAGTAAATAAATAAAATAAAGTAAAAAAAAAAAAAATTCTTGAGGCAAAGAAAATTTTTTTTATAATCAATTCACCTCAAGCAAGGCAGTAATGCTACTAAGATGCAAGGGGCTACTGCGAGCGAAAAAGAATGAGAATTTAGAAGGAACTGGAAACCCAATCCTAAACAGAGAACAAGGGATAAACCTCTACTCCTGTCCAGAAGACTGGGGAGAGGTATGATCCAGATGATAGGTGAACCTATCTACTTCTAGTGAGGATAAAAATAAATAATTAAAACTTTAGAGTTTAGGTGGAGATGTTAGATGTAGAGAGTTGGAGTGGCCTTTAGAAGGAACTAGAAACCTAATCCTCAACAGGAAACAATGGATAAACCTCTATTCCTGTTCAAAAAGCAATATGCCTTGCTATTTAAACAAGATACATTGCCAAATACATAAATCTTCTTAATCGGTTGGATTGATGTGAGTTTGTGACCCTGGGTTTCATGCTTTTGCGATCGCCAGGCAAATATGTTAGCTCTATCTCTGATATTGAGCACTTTCTAATAAGTACCGTGCATATAATATATAAATAATAATATATATAATATTTTATATATATTTATATACACACACTTTTCATATATATAAATCTTAATCAAGATTTATGATGACAAATTCTTAAGCTCTTATATTTCATCTTCTGAAAAGTCTTTTATTATTAGGAAACATATGAGTCGGGCCACCTCAAATGAACATGTATTATATGATTTTTTCTACTGGTATATTTTTAATCAGATTTTTACTTAATTATGATGATAGTTGAAGAACAGTACGACACACCAAAATATTTTATGTTGAAATTGTGAAGTTTGAGGTCAGCTAATTTGCTGCTAATAGCCTAAAAGTTAATTCCAAGTTCCTTTTACCTGAAAACAGTTTTGACATGATTCAGAAGTTCTGGTCCAATTCCATCACCAGACAAGAGCGTGACTGTATGCCGCCCACCATACTGCAACTGAAAAAGAAAAACCCATTAAACTAAAGCAGTCTTAGAAAATAAGAATCTATTTTTGTTTAACTGATAGAAGAGAAAAACAAAACAAAAGACAAAGGATACAAAAAAGTTGACTGGGAAACTTACACATTGTTTTGGAGCTGTTGAATAGTTCTGTCGTGATGTGTTGGATAAATGGAAAATGGTAGGTGCAATGGTCGACTGAAAAAGACAATGTATCATTATTTTTGTTAATCTTTTCAAAATAATGTTTAAAATTGTTTTAATCAAAAAAAAAAGTCAGTGCATGTGTGTCTCTCTCTCTCAATATATATATTCTGTGTATATGTTATTTTTATAAATACAATTTATTTAAGTAAATGCTCTGTTTTTAATTAAACAGTATTAATTACATTTACTGGCCTGAGTTAAAAAAATTAATTAAAAACAGATCATTTACTTAAATTGTATCTATAAAAATAACATATAAACAGAAAATATATTAAGTAATTGTCAGCGTTAATCCATTTCATATATATATATATATATATATATATATATATATTTAAAGATATTTTTTGTAGGTACAAAATTTAATGATCGAAATAAAAGTATAAAATTTAATATTACAAGACATATTAAAAAATATATATTTAATATGTCTTGTAATATTAAATTTTATACTTTTATTTCGATCATATATATATATATATATATTTAAGTTATGAAAAACTTGGTAATCCGTATGGGTAGTCCCAAGGAGAATGAAATCCTGAGAGCTCAATGTAAATCCAGAGCTAATATTTTAAAGAAAAACAGACCACTTTAAGGTACCATTATAATAATTTATATCACCAGAGTCCTTTTAAAGGACGCCGGGTCATCAGATAGCACTTCCAAAAGATGAAACGAAAATGAAATGAAAATTGATGGGTAGTGTAAGTTTTTGTAATTTAACAGAGAGGTAAAAAAATCCATGAAGATAAATTACTATCAAACATTAAAATCTATTTTTTACATAAATTGCTAAAACTTACCAACCCTCTCCTATGTAAAACCCATTTACAGCCTCTTTCTCTTTACTTCCCCCTTCTTTCTCTTCCTTTTCTCTCTTCTCCACTCCTATTTCAATATATCACTTCCGTTAAGTTAACCGTTTAAATAGGTCAAGGTCTGGCCACTCCTCCTCCCCCAATACAAAGTATGATTGAGAAAAATATTAAATTAAACCCTCTCTAAACTCTACCATGTCTCTCTAACCACTCCTTATTACCCTCTCTGTTAAATATATATTCTTATATATATATATATATATATTTAAATTGGCCCCAAAAGTAGTTGTTTTGTACTTTAAATGAGAAAATTATTATACATGGTTAAAAAAGTGAGACATGACTTTTTTATTAAAAATGTTATTATTATTATAACAAAAAGAAAAAACGCATTTTATGATTAAATTTTGCTCACGTCAAAATATCCGCCTTTCGTCTTGATTACTGCAGCACAAAATTTTGGCATTGTTGCAAAAGTTTGATAATTCATTCCATTCTTTGATTTAGGATTTGAATCATCTGATATCCGCCTTTGGAAGAGAAACTGACGTTAGTTCTAATGTGCTTAACTGACTTGCCCACAAATCTTTGAACATGAGGTGACAAAATGATTGAATTAAAAGCAACAAATTTATAGGCAGGTATTCTCAGGAAACACAGTAGTTTTATAATAATAGCTACTATTGGTTGTAATTGAACCCATAACCAGATCAATATCTTCTTAGCCAAGCTCCCTGGATATTTAAGCTACTTCGTGTGTTATTTTTCCTTCCTCTGTCGCCCACAATAAAACTATATACTTTCCATGTCATTTCAACACGTTAGCTAGAACTCAATCCTCATAGGGTGCACTACTAGAGAGAATGGTTTTTTAGTACAATATATACTTCTACAATAATCTACAACAGTTTGTAGTTTATTAGGGTTGGACATTAAATAAAATCATCTTTCTAATTTAAGCACTCATCAGAAGTAACAAAAAAAAAAAGAAAAAAAAAGGAGGATGCAAATAGATGTCCAATTCTTATGAGAAATTATCTCTTTGGGCTGATCACATTGATCATTGAACAGGGTGGAGAAAACATCCAGAACAGTCCCGGATTTAAATTATGGTAGGGTTGTCCAATTTTTGGCACCCAGTCCCTAAAAAAAAAACCCCAAAAAACAAAACAAAAAAAACGCATAGCATGAAGAAAAAAGGTCCCAAACTTAATAAAAAAAACAAAGTTTTATCGTGAAAAAGTTATTTTATTAATAAGAGGAATGACCAAGGTATTTTTTAATTAATCATTTATGGTAAGTTGAGAGTGAGAATTGACTTAAAAAACACGACAGAGTTTTTTTTTTGTATCTATGTAGGTAGCGTAGTATAATAACATCAATATAAAAAAAATATGATACACCCGGCTTCGGTGGAGAATTTAATAAGAATTACTGATGAACAGAATTAAAGAAAACTTAAAAAAACATCTGTACTACAGATTTTACTACATTACTTACGGAAAGAAGTGTCACTCTCACTACCATCTCTTTTGTTTTTTTTTTTTAAAAACTAAAAAACAATTCGCACTGAATTTTAAAATAAATAAACTTCTAAACTTAAACTACGCTTATTTAAGCGGTGTTGGGAATCTGGCTAGACGGTACATTTATTTATTGGTTAATAAATATTTATATTTCAATATCAACTTTTGTATGAATCCGAACGGATAAAAATATTACTTAAATTAATAAAAAAAAGTAATTAAAATTAAATTATGCTTACTTTAATGAGCGTTCCTGATAGTTTTTTGTAAAAAAAAAAAAAGTCCGAATTTGAAAGACAAACTGTTGTCCATCGAATTAAAAAAAAACAAACCCCAAAACTAAGCATGTCATGTATCAAAATGATTTATATCACAAAAATAGCGAATGTTTGTTTTTCTTAACTTAACATAAAGAAAGTGAGTTTTTTTTTACTTTTCAAGTAAAGTACATTTGTTTGTCCCATCAATTTGAAAAGAAAACAGTTTTGTGGTAATAATTCCTAATTCTACATTTAAAATCGAAGGCAACTAAAGGAATTTTTATTTAATAGAAAGACAGAAAAATCGATCTTTATTTAATATTCATAAACATTAGAAAATAATAATTTTATAATCTTCAAATGAATGAGTTTTCTGTTTTCCGGTATCGTAGACAGAGTAGATTTTAAAAATTGTAAATGAAAAAAATATTTTCATTCTTAATGCGAAATACAGATACTAGCTCTTGGACTAAAAATCCTATCAGAGCTTTTAAATTGATTTTTACTCACTTGAATTCGGTTTTTACAACCGAATTGAATCCCGAAAGCCCGACAAGCTGTAAACAAACGAGTCGACATTTTGTGCCCTTCACCCTGAAGATCATATTTGTCTGCAGCTTTAAGGTCACCGCCGTTCGTCGATGATTTGTGTTGTACTTGAAAAGAACAGACTCGACAATCATTCACTGTTTCAAAATATAGCATAAAATTTATTTATTTATTGATTTATAGAAATATAAATAAATACATAAATAAACGATTACATTTTTAAAGGGTCCATATGAGAATTTAAATAAAACCATTCAATTTTTTGGGAGATCGTTTTTTAAGTAACATGGGACATTATAGTCTTCTTACTCTTCTTTTATCTTTTATGAACGATCATGGCTCTTCACAACTATCTATCCTTTGTAGCTTTAAGCAATATTTGACCCCTTAATATCCTTGTTCTGTCATACACAAAATCATTAGGTAGGTTACTCGATATTTCTATGCCCTGTGTGTGTGTGTGTGTCAAATTCTCCAAGCCGATTTTCCTCGTTCAATGTGTCTCAGAGAGTTCAACTAGTTCTTTCTAATACTAACTTTTTTTTTCTTTGGGGTACACTTCCCGTAAAAATGGTTTTAAATTCTTACTAGTTTCTAATAAATTCTCAGTTTCTCCCATGCCAGCTAAATATTTTGACTTGATCGAACCGAACAGTGGTTTCATTTTTAATTATTTATTTATTCCTTCTCACTATTGAATTTCTGGTCAAACCTAAAATTATTTAAGATTAAAAAAAAAAAAAATACAAAAAAAAAAAAATCGCTTAGAATATTTTGTATGGCGGACTTCACCACATTAATTTAACTTTAGATTAACAAATAGGGCTGACGCAAAAAATGATAACCAAAAGACATTGTTACACAAAAAAAATATGTATTAAACAAAATGTACAATATCAAACAACGATGTGAAAGAAAGCATGCATTTAAGTAAGAAAAGGTCGAATTAACCAAGAGTTGTCTCTCTTTAACTGTTATTTTAGTGTCCCAAAGTTCACTGGAAGAATGTTCATGAGAGTCTCTTGTAATGATTGTTCTTGAAAGATATTGCTGTGTAAGAAGAGTTTATGTGAGTGTGTACAAGGTATATTCAGCATGTGAGTGGTGTGTGTATGAGTGAAAAAGTTAGCGCATGGTTTCAACTGTCGTGGATTCGTTTGGCAGTTGAAATCTCACTAATTAGGATTAGAAAACTCTTGCTTAAATAAGTGACTGTAGGCTCCAAATTGTTGCGTGGGAAGAATTATTCTTCACGTGCAAACGATCTGATTGGTTGGCATCGACCAATCAGCGAGCAAGCTTTGTGGAGACTTAAAAAAGCTTCTGTGATCCGCTTCTCCTAAAAGTGCACAAAATTGACTACTTAAAAATAGAGCGATTATAAAATTGTCGCATTACTGCGATTTGTAAATTGCCTGTAGTAATGTAGTGGTCATTTATTAACCAATGAATGCTTGGCGTTGTATGTGATTTGTATTTTTGTATGTATGTATGTTCGTGCGTAATAGATCCGCACAATTGCTTCAACTGCAGAGCTTTCTAATTTATGAAATGCTTGATTTATTTTATTATCTTTTTCTTTTAGCCCCACCTCTCCAAAAATTGGCTTTAAATTCTTAATAGCTTTTAAAATTGATTAGATCATGTTGATTGTCATACTTAGAGAAAGGCTATCGATATGAAAGTCATTTTGTGTTGAATTTGCGCCGTATCGTTTGCTAAATGACTATATAACCCTGGTCGATTTGTCAAGGAGGTGACATTGACAATGTCGATTTGATATGTTAGGAAGTGCATGAAAACCAGACTACAGGTTGATCCAGTCCGCCTTGTGAGTAAAATTGGGTGGACTAAACTGTTCCGAATTTGTCAAGGGTGTTGCTAGCATGAAGACACAAATGAACGTAATTGAGAGTTTAACTGGCTTTGTTCAAATTGATGATCACGCCAAATTATGCGTTCTTCTCCCAGAAACTGTAACTAAAGCCAGCCCGCCATAGTTGCCATTTTGACCACAGTTGAGAAATGAGTAGGCGTTTGCCACATGGATAAGTTAACGACTCTAGCAGACCGGCATATTGGCATATAAAGTTGCTTTTTTAGTTTTATTGAATCATTTTCGAATTTAGACCAACCAACCGTTTTCATAGAGATTATGTAATACAACGTCGAAGTATTTTTATTAAAATTATTTGATAGTAAGAAAAAAAGAAAGCATGAAACGTTGAAAAAGTACTCAGTAACTCTCAACTCAGCGTATCAGAAACGAATGTCAAATTATGATGTTTTGTTCAGTATCCATAGAGGTGATCATTTTAGAAGTAGAAAAATTAATAAAAAATGACGTAAATTTTTTATATAAAAATTACGTATTAAAATATTTTATTAAGCGAATTGTATACGATTCACTTTGTGTAAATATTTCAACAGGAAATTTATCATTAATTGAAATTATAATAACATTAAAATTTAAATGATTTGCAATGTCCAAGGGAGGTTACTTTTGAATTGACAAAAAAAATTTTGAAATTATTCCCCTTTATTTTTTAACACTATGATAAAGAAAACGTTTGGTAAATTACAATGACTGGTTAGTAGTAGTTAAGTAATATCTAATAAAGATTTTATTTTATTCATCTATGAAAACTGTTTAAGATAATTTTGCACTTAAGTTGTATTCAATAAAATTTATGAATACAAATAAATTAAATTCCTTTGTACAGATGAAATTAAATCTTTAAAACAAATACAATTTTTCGGCTTCAATCGCCTTTTTAGTTTTCAGGGCTGGTGTGTACTACTCCCGACCGGGAGAGGTGGGGCTGCTTAGTGACCTTCACTATTTTATCAACATTTGGTTTTATTCTACCAATATTTATATACGTTACAAATTAAACTAAGTACAATTGATTATTTAAAGGATGAAAAATATTTGCGGATTTTGGAGTCTGGGTTCTTTTTTTTCTTCAAATCCGTGAATTTTTTTTTGCTCATGCTAAGTCTTTAAAAAAAAAACTATCCAAATTTCACTATTTTTTTTTCCATAATGTTGAATGTGTTAAAATTATTCAGCTTTTTAATAAGAGAAATCTCAAGTTGATGTTAAAAATTGCTGCAAAACGTTGTTGATTTATTTAAGATGAAATGATCTATGAGATGTCTCTAAAATTTGTATATATATATATTGTATGTATTTTCCATTTTCCTAGTCGAATTGCTTGCCTATATTGCATATGATCCATTATTGTGCATAATTAGGTTACAATAAAATTTGTATTTTACTTGAATACTATCAAGAGATGTAGTCGTGGGGTATATCATAAATTCATAGTGGGGTATTATAGATTCGATGGAAGCCGACAAGACATCGGCCATATTTAACATCAAGATCAGAAATTAGATAAAATTAATTCATCGATCCTGATTTAGATTGACTTTCCATCTCGTTATATACGTATCCAGAGATCCGCTTCGAAAATGTCGCTTTGCTTCTGATTGGCTCACGATCAGTGACAAGGAAACCCCTACTGGAAACAGCGATAACAGCTACTAGATTTGAAAAACCTATTTTCCTGAAAAATAGTTTTAAGAAAAAGATTTTATAAACTTCAATCGAAATGCCAAGTGCCAAGCGTTTCCTTGTAGAGAAACGGTTAGTATTGTTATCATTATCATATCCTGGTTGCGAACCTACCTTGTTTCTGATTCGCGACGATGTTTTTATCCTGTTCGGGATGGTTTCTGATTAGTTGGTCGAAATATGATTTAATGACCTACCGATTCTGAATATACATATATTTTTAAAGATGGTGGAATTTCGGTCTATTTGTTACTGTTTGTTTATTTTTTTTAATTTATTTTTCTATCACTACGTACTTACATATTTCCAATTGGTATTTAAGTTTAGTGTTCGAGTCCAGGTAATGGCGAAGCTTTTGTTTTATGAACTGGGGATACAAAAGGCGATTATCTTCCTTTTGGCGATTATCTTTCTTTGGTCAGTTAGTGACGTCACTCCAGACAGTGACGAAAGCGGTAGTCCTTCAGCCGGTTTACAGGAGCCAAATCCATGCGGTTACTTTTTTTTTTTTTTATCAAGGGCTAACGGCTGTGGTTGAATTTGTCTCCTCCAGCACATGCTCTATATCATAAGCACATGGTACCGTTTCTCTCTGGGAATATATCTTCCCCAAACATAAAAAAATATTATCTCCGGCTCGCCTCGCCGTCCTTAGTTTGGAAGAATCCCAAATTCGCTGTTTCCTGTTTGCGAAATATGCCCTCTTTTGAGACATAGTAGACGAAGTCGACCCGCTTGAATCTGGAGTTCTAAACATTGCTTCTCCATAAACACAGAAGTATTATATGTAAGAACCTATCTTTTCGTTTTCCTTTCACTCTGCTTACTGTGTAGATATATATTTCGGACACGTGTAAATATGCATATATAGTTTTGTAGATGACTTCGCGGCATAAGATTCTCTCATAAATAATAATAAAGAATGTTCGTTATTCCTTTTCCTTTTAGACATTCCGCTGAAAAAGAGACTTGACAAAACCTTTCTCTCTCAGTAACCTCACAAGAACATTTGATGCTGCGCCATGTTTAACTGAACTTAGGAAGTAACGAGATGTTGTATTGATTCATTGATGCGCAGCGATGACCGTCAGGGGACTTTGACATGGAAATTAAATAAATAATAACAATTTATATAGCATAATAGGAAAGAAAGACACCCATTTGCCATGTATCATTATTATTAATATTTGGGACAGTGGCGTAGAGCATATAAACGTCGGTTAATCAAGTGAATAGAGTCGTAGTGAATTTAATCTATGGATCAGGCAACGGAACAATATGCTCTGGTTTAGCAGAAACGAATAAGAACTTGGATCACGAATATCTTCTACTCGTCCCTCCTTTAGTTAGCACGACCGTTATGCCCTGCCAATATCTAATAAATAACGGACTATTCCGTTTTGATCGCGTGGAAAAACGGAAAGAAATATCAAACACACTACTTGGTTTCATTCAAAAAAAAAAAAAAAAAAAAGAAAAAGAAAGAAGATAGTGTTTAACGTCTGTTTCAGTGAAATGGAAAAAAAATTGCCAATTTCAAATCCTTTCATTTGTACCCTCTTACTTCTTAAAATAACGACAGGCATTCATATTTATGATTTTTATTGCAGTATTTTGTTAAAGTTGTTAATCTCAAATATTTAATGATGCAACAGGAGAATTTCTACGGATATTTTATTCTGGTAGAACACGCTATGAACTTATTCAATCTTAAACTTAAGAATTAAGATTATTCAGAAAATTAAAATAGGAAATCCAGGAAATTTTCATGGGTATTTCTAGTAACACAATAATCAGTGTGTAAGGAAACTCATATAGAGCCAAAATAATTGACACAAGAAGATGGCAAGAGGCTACTTGACGGAAACGTCGTATTTATATCTATAACAATCAAAGATGAGAACAAAATTTCGGTTAAGACAAAGTATATTGATAATTTTTCAGCTCAAAAATTCAGGCCCGTTATTGGGGAGGGGCTGTTTCCACCCTCCGTGAAAATGATGTGAATTTAATTTAGTGTTCTTATACGCGTGCCCCCATTCAAAACAACCTACTGACGTGGGTCTGTAAAAATCAAACAAAATTCTCAAAGGCTGTACGAATCCGCCATAATAATCAAATGTCGAAATCATCTTACACTGGATTCAAAGGATCCATAAATACAGAACTTATGTTCTTTAGGATGATGGTGAAGTGAATATAAGAAGTGTTGCTGTCGCGAGGTCAGTTCCTGGTTTAGCAGAGACGAACAAGAACGGTCATCACAGTTACAAAAATAACATAATAATCAACACAAACGATATCTCAAAATAACAATGTCTGAAGATTGTTAGAGGGTCTTCTTCTACATACCGTGTCTCTTTAGCATGGCTCTCCACAACGTCCTATCATTTGCAGCTTTTAGCAGTGTTTGACTTTATTACGTCACTTCCCGTTCTGCTACCGATCCACATAAACTCGTCAGGTAAGTGTCTCCCTCTGTCCCTTTCAACTTCGATATGTCACGTGAGTGTCAAATTTTCCATTTCTTTTCTCATTATGCGCCCCAGAAATAACAGCTATCTCTTTCTGATTCTAAATATAAGTGTCTTTTTTACTTAAAACTTACTCATATGTTCAGGCCATGTTATCAACTGAGTCAAGACTTCTTTTCATCTCTGAGAAAACTGCCCAGCATTCACTGTCATATAAGAGGATTGAGATTATGGGGAACTCTTTTCTTTGATTCTAACGAAAATTTCCTCTTTCTTAATACTTTGCTTAGCTTTTGGAAGGCATCCTTTTGTACTGCAATGCGGCTTCGAATTTTGGCGGCACATTGTCCATCTTCTGTTAAAACACTTCCCAGATATCTAAACTTCTGTACTTGTTTGAAGATGCCAACTTCAATTCGTAGATCGCATCTTGGGTTTTTTTTCTCTAGCTGGCAAACATACATACCCTCTTCTTAAAACTTACGGCTAGTTCTTTACTTAGCCGACATTTTGTGTTTATAATAACAAAGATGAGAGGAATAGTTCGACTTAATATTTTGCGAATGAAAAATTTAATCTGTTTTATCTTCAATTCTTTATTTATACTGAGAGTGACTCAAATTATCGATACCATTTCGATTTTCACACTTTTGCTTAAACAAACTAAAATAATAATAAAAAAAGAACTCATAAAAGACTGAAACTGGCACGACATAAGCTAGTGGATGCCAAAAGATGCAGCAGAAGAGGATAGCAGGTGAGGCGGAATGATTGAAAGACAATCAAAGATTTAGAAACAGTTTTCAAAAATTCATATGCCAAAAATAAATATAATTTCAAAATTTAAAATATTATTATGGATTACTTTAATTGCTTGCATGAGTCCCAGTATAAATAGTTATAAATAATTATTGACCGATTTTATCATTGTGATAATTTTGCATTATATCAAGTATTAAGAATATAGTAACTGGGGTCTGCAAATTGGCGGAGATAGTTATCAATTATAATGTTCTGTCTTCGAATCCACGGTTATCTCAATTTAGCCCTTTCTCATTTTTTATTTTATTTTAAATGTATTTTATATCACATAAAATTTGGTGAGGCGCGAGCAAAATTTTAGGAACCACTGACATAGTCGATCATGGCTCTCTGCAGATACCATTTCTTTATTACCAGTGAATTGCCCTGCATTCTTGGGAAAGATAATGGAATCGTTGTTTTCTGGTACCTTCTCCACGATTTGCGTTTCTTCTTTAAGACCAGCGTGTTTTAACCTTTATACCTTTGCGAAACCCTAGAAATAGTTTTCAGGCCTCAGGCAAGCTCTGCATTTATATACCATTTTAATGTCTATGTCTTTAACATTTTTATCGTAGTTTGCATGGTAAACATAACCTATAGACACAGTGCATGCGGTCTTGTACTCGAGTGAGTCATTCAATCCGCCGCGTACAGCTTCTGTCTACTAACCAGTGAAGGCGGTTTCACTCTAATATCATAAAGACATCGCTGAATACATCTCGTCTGATTATTATAATTTTAAATAATATAAAAGGTTGAAGCCGTTATTATAATAACCAAAGATTTTCCAACTATATGTCGTACGTATTGTAATAGAAACCTGGTCGCCTAATGTGGTTTCCTTTTGTATGGCCTTGTGTCAGACCACCAGACTCCCACATACAAGCGTAGTTGATACTCTTTTAGGATATCAACGGTTCTTGATAAGGTTAACAACGGTAGAGAATGAACAAACACGAATGGTGTATGAAAGGCATAACAAATAGTTCATTTAATAACAAACTGACAGGATAAAGGAAAGAATGCGGTGTTGAATTCCTAATTTTTGGATAGAAGGTCTGACGAATCTGTGAAGCGGGCGGTTGATGTTGAGATTGAACGTTATTGCGCGCCAAATTGTAATGGTTGGCGCCAAATATTCCTGAAGAGGAAAAGGAGCCGCAGACGTGGGAAAGAATCTCCTTTTTTTTTCTTTTTTTTTCTTTTTTTTTTAATAAAAGGTACAAGGGAGGCAACTTGTCTATAAATGTTTTTGTAGGCCATATATTTACCGAATTGCACTTGCTAGTTTAGGAACGGAGAATAGAAGAAAATCAATGAAGACTTAGAAACACATTAACACGGTAGGTTATGAAACTCCTACATGAGTTCGATCAAGATAGAATCATAGAGTTTGCAAAAGTTGCAAAAGAAATATTCGTCAACATAGAATGAAGTATAGACCAAGGGAAAGAAAATACAAGTACCTCGTGTGGAGGCTCGTGGATTCTCAACTTGCTTGTTGCTTTGGATGAGAGGTAAGGTTCGCTTATTACTGTGGCAACGGTTGTTTAAAAGATGCTAGGTTGCCTGCCGTCGATGAGTTAACGGTAAGAAAATGGTTAAGTGTTGATCTAAGAAAAATGAATTCTCTTACGTGTGACGATCCTTCGACGGAGATGCATGTAAGTACATAGATCTTGGACTTTCGCTGTCACTGTAGTAGACAAATGGAGATTCTGGAAGAATTCGTGACAAATATTTGCTTGTTGCTTTTCTTTTCTTTTTGGAAGAGAATCTCGTATTATGTAGGAAAGGTTGGGCTAAGATCGAGTCAAGGATAGTGAAGGTAGCTTCAGGCAAAGAAGTTGACTATAAAAGGTCTGTTACTGAAGTCTAGGTGTTTAACCCGTATGGTGAAGAGAGAGACGGGAAATGCGTCTTCTCGACTCGATGCCCGCGGATCGTCTGTCCGCACATGGATACTTATTGGCGCGGATCGTCTGTCCGCACATGGATACTTATTGGCGCGGATACGATAAGTCACGTGACCTTTGACTGGCGGCAAATGCCAACCGTCAAAGCACATTGAATAGATGTCCATTCAAAAAGGCCACGAGCCTTAACATTGAAAGCGCTGGGTCGTTGCTCAAAGAATAGCAACGACGATAAAGAAAAGAGAAAGAGAAAAAGGTTTGACGTAACTGTTAAGGGAAAGAGGGGATGTGCCGATAGTAGACTTTCTCGCGGAACCCCTGACTCCCTCTTACAGAACCCTAGGGTTCCAGGGAACATCGGTTGAGAAACACTGTGAATTTAGACTAACTGCTGGCCAAGGTTGGAGAGCCCAGTTTACGTTGCAATTTAACATAAAACTGCGCTGTATTGGGCGTAGGGGAGAAGAGCATTTGTGTGAAAGTAAACGCAGGAGGCTAGACTGAAATTTGAACTCGGGTCGCCGATTTCACTTTTTGCGCAGACATTCGTTATACTACCCGCATATCACTGAAACGGACCATAAGCACCGGAAATGTCGTTATCAGCTTAGCAATCAGAGCAATATTATCCATAATTGAAATATGGCGGATAAAAAGTACAATCATAGACTTCCGCTTAAAGATCTAGCTTTGTGTTCAGGACAACAAACAAATAGGCGACCGGATAAGTAAGATTTTATTGCAAATGCTATATTTGTTGAAACGCTAGGGGCGTATTCTCTTTAGGCTCGGAAAGCAAGATTTACTTTTCCGTTCTAATTCAACCGTTATCTTTTGTTGACATATTCAGGCTAACAGGATGTCTGTTTTACTACTCGAATTCTTTGTTTAGGTGACTTTCATTGATTTAACTCATTGTTATTTCTGTTTTGTAATAAATTTTGTGTTTCGTCCTCAATGTACGCCGACATCTTTGACATCTACAGCTTCAACTTCTTTCATCCACTTGATGTTGTAGCATTAATGAACTGTAATCTTGGGAACTTTGTTACTGTTATCAGGTCGGTGGAAGGGTCTTGTTGGCCGCACCGATTCTATGATACGCCCCCTTAATCTATAGTCTAATGGATGTCAGTTATCAGTTATCTCCTATTAATTCACCTCTCCAAGTTTTCCACTGCCTTAACCAAATATTGAACTCACAACTCTTTGGGTCCTGTCACTGGATCTAACCAACGCCTTTATCCACTGTGCTATGTGTCCTTAAGTAGAGAACTTGGTGAGGTGAATTAACAGGAGATAACTGATAACTGACATGCATTAGACACGGCACGTGGAACTAGAACAGTCTACCCTTGCGATCGAAATAAAGGGTTCAGTTGACATTCCAACCACCTGAAGAAGGCCGGAACGTACAACGGCCAAAACGTTGTAATAAATATGGCAACAAAGATGAGGACAATAGTCCGATTAATGTAAATAGTGTACATAATATCTCATCTCAGAAATATAGACAGATCTCGGAAGTGATTTAACAGAGAATAGAAAATGTGACACTGAAATCCGAAGGGCATTGAAATAGTAAAAGATGCTTTCCAAAAGTGAAGCAAAATATTAAGAATCAGGAAAATTTCGTTAGAAACAAAAAGGGTACTGAACTCTTATATAATATTGGTCCTCCTATATAGCAGTGAATGCTGGACAATCTCCTCGCAGATGAAATAGAGACCTGAGGCAGCTGAAGGCTGTTGAGAAGATCATGGACCGAACATGTGGGCAACGAGGAAGTATTAGAGAAAATGGAAACAAAAAGGTGACGCGTAATTAGAATCAGAGAGAGAGAGAGAGAGAGAGAGAGAGAGAGAGAGAGAGAGAGAGAGAGGTGGTGGGAGAATTTAAATTTCTATGACACAGAAGGCTTAGAAATGGGAAATTCTAAGAAAGGCTGTTTGGAAAATTTGACACTCGCACGACATATTGAATGCAAGTAATCGACTTAACGAATTTAAGGATTGGAAGGGATTGGAAGTGAGCTACAAGGGAAAGGAAGTTGTGGAGAACTATGATCGCCCACACCTTGAGGCAATACGGCACATAAAGAAGATCTCTATTTTTTCTGATTTCGGTATTTTTATTACTGTTAACATTTTAGAAGAAAAAATGCATTTTTGAATAAATGAATTTCAATATCAGTAGCAGAACTAGAATTATTCCGAGAACGAAATCAACAATCCAAGTTCAAATTCCAACCGCGGCCATCTGTATTCACTTTCAGTAAAATTCAGTAAGAAGGCATAAATCCACACTCCCCTGCTTGTGTCCTATTGCCTGATGTTTTTTAATAAAAATGTATAGTCAGCGCCTTCTACGATGGCTGACGAGCGAGAAAACCCCTCTCTTATAAGGGTCAACCAAGTAGTAATAACTAAATGACGTCGTTACACCTATTTTCTATCTCGACAGAGACCAGCATAAAAATATTACTATATCAGTTTATGGAATATCTGTTAATTCTGATCATAAATATTTTATTAGGAGAAAATGAATGATCAATTTCAGATAAAAAAGAAATCGGTCAACTTTGTTCAAGCATAAAAGTCCGAATAACAACAATCCATGCCTACATGACAGACGACAATATTTACAAATACCTTGATCCCTTGAGAACGCTACCATATTGTCAACATTCCAATTTCTGTGTGTGTCTGATCGAAACACGAAACATAAAACTGTGACATCAAATACAATCCAACCTGAAATTATAAGAACATTGCAAAAATGACGGATTCCTTGTTGAATTAGATGTTGGGTTAGCTTTAATTCCTCTTCCCTAATTGGTATACACCTCGCTTGACCGGTCACATGACCCTTAACGGTCAATCAGCGGAAACCGGTTTTTACAGAGAAACACGTCTTCTGGTAGACGCAGCTAAGAGAGATTTATTCCTGACGCGTAGATAGACACAACCTTTTGCAACATAAAATGCTGGATGTGTAAGTAAAGACAGCTTTTTTTTTAACATCCACTAGCTTCCCTTCTCGGTACCGGAGAGAAGGCATGAAACACACTTTTATACTTTTAAAACATATTCACTTTTTAGAAAATAAAAACATCATTTACGCTCTTCCGACTTCACCTTAGCTATCTTTATTGTGTTTTTTTTTAATTATAAATGTTTGGGGAGTTATCTGTTTTCGATGGCCGGATACTACTAAGGTCGACGAACATACAGATGACATAACTATCATTTCAGACACTATTAACGTTACCACATTTCTCTTATATCATCTAGAAAATGTTGCTAATGATTTTGGACTCTTTGTCAATGCCTCTAAAACTGAATTCATAGATTTCAACCAGCAAGGCTCAATACAAACGCTATCAGGTAGATTAATAAAACCTGTCGAATATTTTACATACCGAGGAAGCGAAATAATTTCTATTGAAAAGGATGTGAAAATTCGCATAGCTAAAGCCTGGGCCGCCTTCAATAAAATGGATGTAATCTAGGAATCTGATCTCCTAGACAACCTGAAACGGAGGTTCTTTCGTGCCACTGTAGAGGCGGTGTTAATGTATAGTGTAACTTGATTGGACATTAACTAAAATCCTGGAGTCTAAGCTTAATGGAACCTAAACTTAGATGCTGAGAGCTATACTTAACATCTCTTAGAGATATATTCCAACTAAGTCACAGATCTATGGACCCATCCGTGATATTTCTACAATCTTACGCAAACGCAGAATACACTTTGCAGGACACTGCTGGCGTGCAAAACAATAACTCTGGATACTTAGCCAAGTGGTGCAAGATGGGTTGATCGTCCTGTAATCATCAACAATTGACCAGCTATGTTATGACACAGAATGCCACCCTAATGACCTTCCGATCTTGATGCAGGACCGTGATTCTTGGCATGATAGAATCATGAATGTCTGAGATAGTTCGAACAAATAATAAAAAAATAGATGAACTGCAAATATAGAGATTTTATTCAATGATTAATAGTCAAGTAAGTTCATTTTTGTAATTTAAGCTCATTTCTCGTGTCCAGTAAACATAAAAACACTTGTGAATTTGGTGAGAGAGATTGTAATTATAACGCTGAAGAACTCCTTAAAAGATTATTTAAAAATGCCAAAAGGTTTTTTGTTTGCGCCAAGAGGAAAATTGTTTTTTTTTTTTTTACTTAGAGCAAATCTTATTTTGACGGCATTGCAAAACTTCATTTGGATGCCGCAAAAGCCTTTTTACAAAATGTAGGAAAACCTTGGCCTATCACTTTTTGATGAATCTTAACGCATATGACGAAGTTGTCCACGTTGAGAATAAGATCATCATCATCATCATCATTGGCTTTCGTAGCAATACTGTGACTCTCTGCAGTATAAGGAAGCCCCATCCAGCAATAAGAAATTCATGCAAGCACATCTAATTACGACATGTCATGACTGGTTGTAATACAAGATCTGCCACTTTGTGAATTAGGGAAACTGAAAGCATTAAACACTTAGTAAAAAGATAAATTCTATCCTTCGACATGAATACATTTGAGTGAATATGCTTATGTAAATTTCTATACGTCAAAACAATACTGGGTAACTGAATGACAAAATGTGAAAATTCTATGTAATGCGTTTTGTCCTGTAAAAGGACTTCATCGAACTAAAATGTTGTTCTTATTGATTGGATTATATAGCTATATATCTGTCATTTTTAAAAATCAATTCACCCCAAGCAAGGCGATAGTGCTACGAAGACGCAAGGGGCTACTGAGAATGAAAGAGAATGAAAAAAATGATAACAAAGTTGCAATATGAACTCTGGTAAAGACATGCAATGATAACAGCAAAAAATTGCAATATGAGCACTGGTAAAAATGATGCTGAAAACATTAGGTTTATAATACTCAGAAGTTCATACCCAGATGTCCTCAAGGACACATGGCACAGTGGATAAAGGCGTTGGTTAGATCCAGTGACAGACCCAAAGAAGGTGAGTTCAATTCCTGGTTAAGGCAGTGGAGAACTTTCAGAGGGAAAATTAGCAGGAGATAACTGATAACTGACATCCATCAAACATGGCACGTGGAATTAGAACAGTCTACCCCAGCGATCGAAATAAAGGGTTCAGTTCGAAATTCCAACCACCTGAAGAAGGCCGGA